AAAAAAAAAAAAAAAAATAACATGCAAAAAGAAGATAATAGTAATATCAAACCGTATAGCATCTATTGGGCTTTCCAATGTACTTTATACTCCTCGGATTAAACGGACGATTCTTTAGTAAAGTAGCTGAGAAATCATACCAGATTCAGGCTAGTCAACAGCAACAAAAGACAGCTACAAATCCTGTTCAGAATGTAGCCTCTGGTATATACACGGTTATTTTATACATCAACTGTGGCATCACTGCTGCACTCTTGTCTAAAGTGCCTTTTATCGGAATCTTTCTATCTTTTCTGATGAACTGTATCATAACATCTTATTATTGTTTTGAGTAAGAATCTAACCTTAACCGTATTTCAGCTGACTAACCTTTCTCTCTCTCTCTTAGGTACAAGTGGGTCTATATGGGTTGGAATATTGAACAACGCCTATCCTATATGGAAAAACATTGGTCTTTCTTCTTGGGCTTTGGATTTCCAATGACCATTTTGACCTTTTTCCTTAGTTTTCTTCGATCTGGTGCCATATTCAACCTTGTTTATCCTTTTGTAAGTTGTAAAATATGCCGCTTTTCGTGTCTAATTTTTTTACAGTTCATCATCATGGCCATGTTGGCAGCCCCAAGAGCAAGTACACCATATAATCAAAAGTTAGCATCCGGTGTCAACGCTCAATCAGAATGGATACTGCCAAACAGAATCGCCATCTTTTACCCTGTAAGAAAACTTAATGATGTGGTCATTCTCATCATTCGTCTTGTCAGCGGTATACGCGTTTCTTCCGAAAAGAAAATTGAACAATCAAAGAAGGAACAATAATAATAAAAAAAATTTCTAAACTATTTATTACTTTTGTTCGTCTTGCGCTTTTTCACAGTGTGCAAGTCATCTACAGCCTTTGTATTTGTTGAAGCAGGAAGTACTTTTTGATCTATAAAATATACTATTAGTCAAAGTTTCTCTTTATATCTGTATATCTTTACCTTTATTCTCTATAAGTCTGTCCACTAAACCAGAGACAAGACCACCCGTCAAGAACTTCCTAGATACACCAGCAGGTAATATAGGCTTTTGCAATAATTGGTTCAGCTGACTCTTTAAACCATTCACCTTGGCTTTCTCTCGTTGAAGTTCCTTGTTGGACTTTTGATGACCCTTTCCTTGCATCATATCTTCGTCGAAATCGACATCCATCTCTTGTGCCAGTTTACGCATCCAATTCTCTTCATGAACCTGCTTTGATTCTTTATGTTGAATGGAATCAATTTGTCTTGCCAGCTCAACACGCTCCTTCATGGATCTTAAGATATTCAGGTCAACAGGGAACATGGGGTATTCTTCTCCCTTTCTCAAAGTCTGGCATAACTTTTGATACACCTTTGTTTCCTCTGGTCCACATAACAACAATGAAACACCATCACGGTTGGCACGAGCTGTACGACCACTTCGATGGACATAAATCTCTCCTGATCGTGGCAATTGATAATGAATGACGTGCTCAACCAAAGGAATATCCAAACCACGAGCAGCCACATCTGAAGCAACCAAGACAGCTTTATCATTTGCCTTAAATCTATCTAAATTCTTCAAACGTTGCTTCTGCTGCATTTGAGCGTGTAAACCGAGTACTTCAATGTTTAGCAATTTGAACACGGGCACCAGACGACGAATAGAGTCAATTGAATTGACAAAGATGATTGTACGACCAGGATAACGCGTAACAAAGTAGTAGACATACATATCCTTTTCGTTTTGAAGACATTCAATCTTGGCTTCCAACAGGCGAGATGCCACCATGTTTTCAGATGTGATGTCGATCAGTGCTGGTTCTTGATCAGCAAATTCAATACGACTCAAGAGATCATCCATTGTGCCTGTCGGTTGAGGTGTAATCTTTCTCTTCTTTGCCTTGACATTAAAGCGGATGTCTTTGTTGAGTGTTGCAGTAAAGATGAACGTCTGGTGAACGCCGAGATCTTGAGGCAGCACTTTTCTCGTACCATCTTTCACCTGTTCTGGCCAATCCGTTGTACTTTGTCTCTTGGTGGAAATCGAATTCAAAATGTTGGTCAGTTCTTCAAAGTGGCCCTTTTCTAACATACGATCAGCTTCATCAAGGACAAGGAATTTGATATGCTTCAACATGTCCATGTATTCTTGATTGCTTGAAAAAAGCTCCCAAAGACGACCCGGAGTGGCAACAATAATGTCAGGCTTGTTCTTTAATAATCTTTCTTGCTTTTGAACTGACATACCACCCACAATGGCCACACAGCGAGTGTCAGTAAACAATGCTATATTCGAGATATGCTCCTTCACTTGAATGGCCAATTCACGTGTAGGTGTTAAGATCAAACCGGCAAGTCCTTCTTTCTGATGGGTGGCGAGATAATGCACAATGGGAATACCAAAGGCCAACGTCTTACCGGAACCTGTTTCGGCTGAACCAACGATATCACGACCCCTCAAGGCTAAAGGAAGCGTCTTTTCTTGAATAGGTGTAGGCGCGCTGAATTTATGGTATCTCAAAGCATTTACAATAGGCTCAGCCAATTGAAGATCGTTCCAAGCAGATACATCAACAGTTGTGTCAATATCGTCTACTGTCGGTCGCTTCTTCCCTTCTGGTTTTTTCTTTTCTTCTTCTTTCTTAGGTTCTTTTTCAGTCACTTCTACTTCTTCTTCAAGTTTTTTCACTTGTGCCATCAATCTTTCCAGGTCTTTCTTTTTCTTTTCCAATAGCTTTTGTGCCTTTGTCTTTTTTGACTGTGTTTCGTTTTCCTTTTGCTTATTGTCATCATTTGGCTTTTCTGTAGTGTCTGTTATTTCCATGTCATCTCTTTCGATCTCGTCTTCGACTGTATCGATCTCTCCTTGTACAATCTTACTGTCTTTGTTATCCTTAGTATCAGCCTCTGTCTTGGCAGCCAATTCTTCATCAAATGTGTCCAAATCGTAGTATTTGCCTGTTTCCTCAATACTGAGAGGAGCAGTAGGCTCAGCCTTCTTTGTTGGTTTACGATCTGTTTTTTTGATTCTCTAAGAAAATAATAAACAACTCTGTTTTCTTTATTTTATTTTATTTTTTCCTTACTTTAAACTTGGCTACTTTTCCTGTTGTTTCGTCTCCTTCATATTCTATTTCAACATCACTAATTTCTTCCAAACACAGAAATCCTCCTACGTCGTCTGTCAAAAAAGCGTCTGAAGTTCCTGCTGATTCTGACCAATCCCAAGAATTGATGTCTCCTGTTAGCTCTTCATACTCTATTTGAGACTTTTTCTTTTTGAGATTGTTGTTGTTCTTCTTTTTTATGGCCATTGGATCAAAACGTTAGATCTCAAAAAATGATACAAAAAATTGAAATACAGTTTCCTTGTCAAAAAGCCACTTCTTTTTTTTTATGTTTACACTTTATTCGCACAAAATGAAACAACAATAACAACTTTTTCAATTATGTGTTATCTATGTGCTGACCACATTTATTTTATGTGTCTCTCAAAGAGACAGAACTCATTGTCTTTTTAATAATAAAGGACTGATGATCAAAATCATTAGAGTTGTTGATCTTGTGCGCGAATAACTGCAGACGTTTTTATTATTATTCAGAACAAACATTATCATCAGAAGATTCCAGCAAGCTATAGAATAGAGTCAAAACATAGAGCCTTTGATTAATAGCTTAGTTACCTGTATTGTTTGAGTAAGACACATTCACCACCATTCTCCAAGTCAATATTGTATTGATAAAAGTAACCCTCGGATGTGACAACCATGACTTGTGGCGTAGTACTACATAAATAAGGTTAATTAATGTAAAATGACATCTATAGAGATTATACCTGCTTAATGCCACTAAACTTCTTATACCCGCACTTGGTAACTTGAGTTGAGCAAAATCTCGAGTAGGCTCCCACATCTCGGTGATAACATCGGGTAAATAAGATCCAACACTTCCAGCTAAATTACGACCCAAGTGCATAGAAGAACGTCGAAGCATTTGACTATAATAAAATGAATGAGCCTTCACTTTTAATATGCCCCCTCTAGAACAAGACTCTTACCCAACACTAGAACCTCTTCCATTCACTTCTTTCTCTTGTAATTCCTTCTCATATGATACATGATTATGAACCGCGCCGGGACTGTTTCCGTTTGCCGCCAACTTGAAGATATGGACAGTTTCTGTGTCACTGGAAACACATAAAAGAGAACTGACTAGGTTAAATGACATGGAATAAATTTTTGCAGGATACGATCCTCGTCTGAACTGATAAACTTTGGTTGCATCCAGTGTCGAAAATATTCTAATCACGGTTCCCTACTAAAGTGTTATTATGACGAAAATGGTTTGAGCCTTATACGTACCTTTTCACTTGCTGTAGCAAGTAAAGTACCCTCAGAGTTCATTGACAGACAGCTGACAGGACTCTTGTGTGCTTGAACAATGTTTGTCGTTTGTGGACCAAGAGCGTCAAACAACTCTACATCTCCAGATACATAGAGCGTGTTGGAAGATTGGCTAGTTGGAGAAAAAGGTGAAGTAGAAGAACGTGCAGGATAAGCAATAAAGCAGTTTTCACTAGAAGGCGATAAGGCACAGATGGCTATTTGAAGTTTAATTTATTCTTTTCTTATATCTAAGGTATTCTCTTACCATTTGGATTGGGGTTGGTCTCGATGGTATGAAGCAGTTTCATGTTGCTGATATCATATAGAAAGATCTGCTCTTCCAATACTACAATCAGTCTCCTCCTGTTCATCTTTACAGCCAGGATAGCAGTAGGAAAAGATAATTCACAGATAGTTGTTTGCCTCTGTTATACATAAAAGTTACTATCTTTATCTTTTATCACACATATATTATATATGTATACTTTTGTATTTATAATCTGTAGTTGTCTTGGTGAGAGAGCAGGACATTCACCAGCGCCTACCAAGGCAACAAGTGAAGTACAAAAAAGCATTTCTACAATACCTGTTCCTCCTGATTCTATATACATTATATTCGACATTAGTATCATTACTTGTCTTAATTTGACTTTACGTTTTGAATAACATTTTCCAAAGGGATCACAGTTGTATATCCTATAGCCTCTTTCAGTTCCGACTGATATACAGCTAAAGTCTTGATTGAAGTTTAAAAAAAGGATCTCATTAGTGCTTTTATCTCCAAGGTTCATTCTCTTTATTTATTGCGTCGTGTGGGAAGGAAAAAAAAAGGTACAGTCTGGTGCATTGATGAACGGTGTTGACAAATCGCACTCGCTTAAATCACCCCAGAATATTTTGATTGGATAGAATAATGATGATGTTGGTATTTTCTTTTCGAATCAGAATAGAATAAAATACTTACAAGTGCAAAGAGCCAAACAAGTGGCTCTATAGTGCTGGCTAAAGCACTCTATTAAACGCAGCATTCCTTGATCTAATATTACAGCTATTATTAACATAATCTGCAAGAATCGATCGAATGTTCAATGCTGAGTTGACGTCTCAGTTCCAGACCTATCATTGGATGGAGCTGACAGTATTAAATAGAACAATTAGTACCCAGCTAGTTGTAACTAAGTAAAAGTAATTTACTGTTTCCACCATGAGCACTACCAGCTGAACACTGACTGCAAAGTTTCAACGGGTATACAATGGGCACATAGCCTATTTTGTAAATGATTAGGTCAGAACATAAACTTTAAGCGTTCGAAGTTTGGCAGATATATCTATTTGCGTTTTATCGGGACAGGAACTGGATCGATCAATAATGCTATTGCCATCATTTACACACCATTTAGCACAATTTTTCTCTGATATCTACATTTTTCATAAGCATCATAATGATATCACTATTATTTAATCAGTTTATTGAAAAAGATCTCCTTGAATTATATTTGTTGAGATGTCCTCAAGGTCATGATATGAGATTGCTGCAATGATAGTAACATTATGTCCTTCTTTATCTCTGCTTTTACAGCAGATTGTTCATCTTTTCGCAGCTCCTCTTCGCTGGCTTTTTATTAGTTCCAACCTATTGAAGACTTCGTTTGACCCGTTGGTAACGACAACGGATGTATTTCAACAAGACTGGCCGAGTGTTTATGAAAAATATACATCTTTAATTTTATTATCAACAAAAAAGATATTGCCTTGGCAACTGTCTCTTGGCAATGACATGATCATTTAACCATAACTAACGCCTTTTACTTTCATGTTATCATCCACATGAACATTAAGTCTGTCTGTTCTATAGTCCATTGTTATTATGCTATTAGCAAAAAGAACTCTGTTTGGCTTTGGTAAATCCTTGACGCGAACATACTGGAATGCATAAACATCAATAGTCTTAAAAACGCTCTTTTAGACATTTACCTCTCCCTCGGAAAGTGTGGTAGGTGCATCATCTTCGACTATATACTTGCCAACTAATTTTTCGTGCCATTGGTTTTGTTCACTTCCAGACATATTGTGCGTATTTTATAAAAGAAAAAGGAAAAAAAGAAACACTGGAAAGTACTTTCATTTTATATAGTTTACGTCAGGCGCTGTTTGAAAATGTCATGAGCCGTTACTGATAAAAAGCTTTATGTGGTACTTACACACTATATACCTTATATACACAGTACATCAGTTTAGAGACTCACTTATATAAGTGATTAGAAATCTTACTGAGGACTAATCGTAGGGGATAGCACCTAAACATTGAATGCAAATTCGGACGATTTATTCCGGACAAAATGCATAAACCGAATTCGTGATACATGAGCTTTCCGTGCGTGAGTTCAAGCACCCAAGTAACACTGTTCAAACGTGTCTGATCTATGAGATCAATGTACATATTGTTTAACCCTGTCAATAGTATTACCACTTTGTTTTGCAAAAGTGCTTGAGGTGACCTAAATGAATGTGCTTTATATCTCTTGATGCCAATACCGACATATTTATATGACCTTTAACTCAGTTAGATGCGGTGATAGACAAGAGAGAGCAAACATATGTTGCATTCTCAATGCAAACTAAAACGATGCATGATCCTGTGGTAAAGAAGTGCATTGGAGTGGCCCTTTTTGACAGACATGTGTAATATCCGGAAAGGACACAACTTCTTCTTCATCACGTCAGCCACCTCAAGCTTCGGTGTCATAAAGCTTGCTTCCTTGCACTTTCAGTAGAGCAGAGTAGGCCCTACAAGCACCTTTTGATTGAACTTGAATTGTATGTCATGATATTATAAACGCTCCAAGTCCGAGGCATGGTCGTCGCATTGTTATGTGGGAGGTATTTTAACAAAGACAGACTTAATGCGTATGTCGATGATGGCATGAAAGTAAAAGGCGTTGGTTATGGTTAAATGATAATATCGTTGCCAGGAGGCAGTTGTCAAGGCAATATATTTGTTAATACATAAATTAAAGGTGTAAAATTTTCATAAACATTAAACATTATAAAGACATCGCTATTATTCAGTCAGCCAGTATGTACTTCGCTTGAACCACTTGTTCAGCAGAATCTCATAGTCCTTTAGTACAAATCCACATACGATAGTCATAAACTGCGATATACAGGCCATATTGATCTGATATGCTTCCTTGACTAAACCCTCACGCTTCCCTGCCTTGTGCATGATAGAGGTTAATGCGTCATCCCATCTCTCTGTATAACAAATATTAGCAAATCAACTAAAAAACTGCTTCTAAACCAACGTACCCAATACTTTGGCATCTGTAAATAATTTCATAAGTGTCTTGATGTACAGTTCATTTTGCCCATCATTCCTAACGTAACAGATGAGCAAAAAAGAGAGACATTACGATCAAAAAGAAACTTACGGTACTGTGTTCCGTGTTGTATCAAATCTCATTTTCTCCACTGATTTTGATAACCTTGAACTCCAAGTGGCTATTGTCTTTTTATGCAATGAGTTGAATGCATTCTTTTACTTTTTTTTTGACTTTACTTGTGACGTTCTAATAGAATATCTATGTATATTTCCTTGTTCCTGTTTGTTATTCAAGGGCACAGTAGGCGCTGGACGTCCTAATTTTCGCATCAAAGTATCATTGATTTGATTCAAGGTTTGTCTCAGTATCTTGAGTTCATTGATCACGGCTGATATGTTGAGTTCAATATTCTTTCGAGCATTCATCTTTTCTAACACGGCTATTAATAATTCCGAGGCTGCTATCTTTGCTTCAATATATGGTAAGCGTACATTCGTCTGATACCTAATGCATCAAGAGATTAAAAGAGAGAATCTAGAACATGATGAACTTACCATAAATCCATAGGAATATGAAGGTTGCCTGTGACATGACCACCGCATGTCATGCTTTCAAGCAATCGATACATTAAAACAAACTTTTTATTCTGTACAGTTAATGATGATGATGTGGCTGGTCCAGCCAAGAAGGTGGTAGGATCGATTTTACACGTATTCAGAGTCGGTAATGGGTTTATACTCTTGGTGGATTTATTGGATGCTTTTACATCGTTTGTACTCGAGGCAACCGATCTTTGACTTTTCGATCGTCTCAGAAGCGACACTGATCTCTTCTTTGACTTTTCTTCCTCCTTTGCATTATTTGACGCAAATTTATTGCCGTGCATACTTTTTCTAAGCAATGATCTACTGGATGAGATGATCTGTGATGAAATAGACGCTGTTGGCTGCACGCTAGGTTGTTCCGATAGATTATTTAAGCCTGAACTTCTCACAGGCTCACATGGATGCACGCTCGTTTCAAGATCATCAGTGTGTGATTGCTTTTCCTCGTCATCGCACGAGGATATCTTTGTAAAATCTGTCTTGCACAGTTGCGAAGTAAATGTATCACCAACTACATTACTGGTGTCACAAATAATTTCATTTGAATTAAAAGTGCTTGTCGTACTGCTTCCACTTTCAGACAGGGCCAAGGACCCAGAGCTGCTGTTTATATTGGATTGACTGTAAATATCTGTTGCTGTGGAAACTAATTTTTGATTTATATATTTTGTTGTTTCTTTGTTTAATAAAATCGTATCTACATCTGCCTTTAGTTTTTGAATTGGAATAGAAGATTTGTTATAAGATCTAAATGATAACGCTGTGGCTAATGTTTTTTTATTTAATGACGGTAAATTGTTGGCATGCGCTGTATTCTTATTGTCTGAAGGGTGAATGGATTGTATTTTTTTGAATCTTCGTTCTAAAAAAAATCTTTATTAATCTTTTTCTTCACTTGCTACCATTTACCTTTATTGCTTCTATTATTTGATAAAATAGGAGTACTTGTAGATACTTTGGGTTTAATGGAGGTAGACATGACAGGTGTACTATTTGTTGTTCCAAGTTGAATAGTATCCATGACAACTGATGATATGATGAATGTACGTGTGGTATACAAAGTAAGAAGGGAAAAGAAGAAAGAAAGAAGAAAGGAAGGGGAGAGGAATAAGAAGATGAATGAATGACTGTAGTGATTACTAAAAAAAGAAAAATAGACAAGACACAATCTACAAAACAGAAACTAGATAGACATCACTTGAAACCTTTCTTAAAAAAAAGTGTTCTCTCTTTTAAGGGTTTATCGGAGATGATACAATACTTTTTTGGAAACTTTTTTTTGGCACTATTTTGCTGTTGTTGTACCTTTTAAAATTAATTGTGAAAAATGAACTCCTTGGCTAAGTAAAGCTTCATGGGAGAAAAGTGTACGCCATATGAAGATTATTCTTTAAATATGGAATATAGAGCGATTTATGATCATATCATGGAAAGGTTTATAGTGTGCCCCTTTTTTTTTATTTCATCATTCAACTTGGATTGAGTCTTTTATTTAATTTGTTGGTATATCCCCTTCCCCTTTCATTACGATACACAGGTGACCCAGTTTGTAAAGTTTTATCACTCATGTCTGTTTCATTAGTATTGCTCTGTTTTCAAAGTCATGGACATTTTTAGCAAGTAAAGAATGATAAGCTGTCACATTTATATCTTTTACTAGATTACTCAACTTAAAAACCGACTTTCTCAGTGATCTATTATTGTTCATGTCTCATTTTACTATTGTATGGAAAAAACACCCCAAATCATTGGCTGTTTCTGTACTAGCACTATAAACACCTGTCATTATTAGGAAAAAGTAGAGCACATACTGACAAGCTAGTTAAAGTGGAATATATAAACAAATGAAGGGGCGTTGAGCCATCAGTCCATTCTGAAGGAGAATTATATATCTCCATATCTTTTGATTTCACATGGCTCTACAACCTCAACCTCTTTCATCTTCGAGCTCAAACCAGTGTCAATGATGCTTTGGACAAAAGCGATGGTTGAAAAGTAGCTTCACATAGCAACTGAGAGAGTATTCTCGGCAAGTAATTTTAACAATGAGCTGACCGAAAAACGAAATCTCTACAGCTCTACGATCTGCTAATCTATCGGTGTTATTCGATAAGCTTCTGGAAAAAGCTGAAGAGGGACTATTACATTCAAATTATCGACGCATCAGTTTGACAAGACAGCCTCGGGTTTAACCGATAAAAATAGTAATGAGAATATTGTCAGCTTTTTTTATTCTACATTTATTACAAATAACGCAATTGTCTCTCGGATAACAAAAAAGGGAGGGTGGACAAGAAATGATCTCTAAAAGCACGTTGAATTGTTATTAACTTTGCATAAAAACTGTGCGCCTTTGTCCCTCCCTTGTCTCTCTTTGAGTTATTATTAAAATCACGAATGTGTACATGTGATTTTAATATAGGGCCAGAGATGCTTTTAGTTGAATTCAAGGCGCGCCTTTGCCCACTTTCCCCTTTAAAGCAATGGTCCTTCATGCTTTTTTATTTTTAAAAGCTGTATTTAATCGTTACACTGCATAGATATGCCCCCACACCCTTAAAATGACATTTATAGTAAAAAGTATAGAGATCTGAGTAACCACGATGGAGACAAGTGGTAAATTTCTATTGCTTTTGAAAAAAAAAAAATCAAAGCGTGCGCCAAAGGTCCATTCTTATCTAATCTTGTCGACTTTGTGACATTATCGGGGAGGTTGCTGACACTTTTCTCGATCCATCAAGTCAATAGAAATTGGGTAACTTTGATTATCGAGTATGGTCTACTCTACTTGCAGCTTTGCCAAATGTACTGTAACCACATCCATCTGAATTTATTAGGCAATGGACAAGGCCTAGTCAGGCACTATCTATTGAGAGATTGGCTGTAATTTATGCATATAAAGTATATGCGTGATTTTTTTTTTAGAAAAAAAGAAATGAATGCAATAGTAAAGCATAGGCCATGATTTTGTGAATTTCGTTCTATTGAGTTATTAAACACACATCTGATATGATTACTGAGCCAACATAGTATACACATCTTTATTTAGCTTCACTTTAAAGATTTGGTGAAGGTTTGCTCAAAAGCACGTGCCTTTCTAAAGCCTAATTTTAAGAACAAGGTCGTTTTTGTACAATGCACATCAGGACATCTACCATCACGGTTGTTTATGGTCAAATCTACACTTTATAGTAGATATGTATCTGTTATAGATAAGGACATTGCTAACTATTGCTTCTCTTATCGTGCTTCTTTTGCTTCTTTTTGTTTTAAATGCAAACAAAGTGCCATTGTGTGTCCAATTCTATTATTTCTTTTTAGCTCAACGGTTTCTCATAGTATGTTGTTATTCTTTTTTTTTTAAAAAAAAAAAAGACAAGTAATGCCAAGTATTATTTATTTTTTCAATAAGCTAATGACACGATGAATTACCCGAGTCCACTTTGATATATCCCCTTTATAAAGATCTGGACAGTACTTTAACCATTTAATAGGGTTGATCATGTGGCAAATACACTTTATTTATAAATGAATATATTATTGTAGAGAATTATATATATGGTAGTATACACTTTGAGTTCAAATAAGATAATAATGATATGCATTATATGTATGTGAGATTGTGTGTGTGTATAGAAAAAAAAAATTTACATGAGGGGACTTTCTCAGCGAACTGAAACGTGATATTTAGGAGATGGAAGAGCTTGTTTGGTGGCAGGGTCTATGATTGGGATAATCTTGCGTGGTTGAGTAGGTTGTGTGGCACAGCCATAATAATGAGAATACATTCTATTACTGTAAGATACATTTGACCATGTGGAGTCTGGTTTGATCGATACAGGCGCCATATTGGTAGGATCGATAATGGGAATCGATCGTCTCATAGGAGGTGTGCTTGTAGGAGTATTATAATAGGATAGACTGGGTGATGAATGAGGTGATGCACGTTTTTGAATCCTTTCTCGGTGCTCAAAAGCCTAACAAGGGTATAAACACATTTATTATAGACTGGCTATATTAGTGCATACCTCTTCTTCAATATCATAAAGTGGACAAAACTCATTATCATCGTAAAAATTTCGAGCCAGTTCGTGCTTTGTTCTAAATTGTTCAAGCTTTACACCTACATCATTGTCAGTTTAGATGTCATATCTTTATATTTTGATGATTCTCTTACTAAAAGACATTATTATAACAAAAAACAAAAAAAAACAAAGAAGAAAAAAGACAAGGAAAAGCAAGAAAGAAATAAAGTGTATGTGTGTGTGCGTATGTGCGCTGTCGGAAAATGAAATTGATATGATCCTGATTACTGATTCAGAACGCACAAACAAAAAGTGTAACATTGAAGGAGATCTAAACTTTTTCCTTTTTATTTTCTGTTCATAATCAAATGGCTTCTCTAAAGGAGACTAATTTTTCTCCCTTCAATTGACCTAAGATAATCATAAGCATTTACACAATATAATTATTATATATAAAACTTACTTTCTTTATCCACTGTGTATCCTCCTGCTACTTCACAATCTTTCAGACTGGCTTTATCCAAAATCTTTGCATGATTACAGATAATACAACCATCAATCTTGACACTATTCAACTTTTTAGTCACTGTTGTTTTTTAAAGTAAATTATCTTACTTGTCATGAATCACCACATGGTCCATAATAACTGAGTTGGCTATCTTTACATTCTTGCCAATAACACAATGAGCACCCACACATGATTTCTTAACAGAGGATCGTTCATCGATCTTTGTATATTCGCCTACAGCCGAATCATTTCCTACTTGAGTTCGAGGCGCAATCTCTGCTGTTGCAGGTTGACGCATGATACTTGCGCCTTGCTTTGTGACCTATAATATCATATGAATAAGCATCCAATAAAATAACCGACATACTTACATAACGATTCAATTCGTTATAACTTGCAATCGTGTTACCACGGCCACAGAAACCGCCCCGGTAAACGTGCACGTAGGATTTGATGGGACTATTAAAGTCTGGTTGGATGGGGTCCTTGCTAAAGGAATCATTGATACCAATGGACTGTGTTGTAGAAAGTGAGAGAGCATTGGCAAGAAGATAATGGTGTGAGGATGAATCTATGAGGGACTGATGTCAGCTTATATATATCTTCGGTACATTGCTTTTCTCATACTTACACTTTTCAATGTTTTCTCTCTCTACTAATTTTCTTTGATATTGGCATTTGACTAACAAGGGAATTAAGTCTTCAGAGATACTTTCCACATTTTCTTTATCAGCCACGATGTCTATCACCCATCTCTTGAAAATATAAAAGTGGGCATCTTGCAAGTCTGTATGAATACGTACACGAGGGAACCTAAGAGAAAGAGTTAACAATGTGTGATCACGTAGTATTCCACATTTACTTTTTCAGTAAGGACATGCGCATCGAAAAATCTTCATCTTCTGATCTTTGAGCCATATAAACCAAGGCATTCTGAGTAGCATCAATACCAACATAAGGAAGTGGCTCTAATATATATATATATAATTATTAAACAATATTCAAACAATTTACTCTTGTTGTTACCGTCATCTTTGCTTAATGCTTCAGTGGACCCAGGTTCATAGAATAATGCTGTAAATGTTGGATCATAGACACGGTGCGCGTCTAATAAGTCGCGTGGATTGAGTTCTGTGATAAGATCACAAGGAATCACAATAAAATCTCTCTATATAACATATAAGTTTTTTATGCTTTTTTCTATTTTTATCGTTACATCAATCTTATCCTTGATGGTTCTCAGAGCTGCTGCTGTTCCGATATCTTCATCAACAGTGGCTACTGTACAATGAACATTTCCTGTATATCCTCTAAGATAAGCTGACAGTTTTTGTTGTGCATTAGCCACGACAATAGCCTCTATATAAAAAAGAGAGTGTGTGTGTGAGTATTGACTACAGAAGCAAACATTTCTTTATTACCATGAATTCCCGCTTTCTCGAGCCATTCTAAAGTATATGAAATAATAGGCTTGTTTCCAACCGGCAGTAATGCTTTTGGTAAATTATCCTCTTCTGAAATGGGATACAATCTGTGAACCATAATAGTTTATATCTGTTTGTGTGTTTTATAGGCGGTTCATGACTAAGTTACCTATTACTACTTCCATATCCAGCTAATATTACTGCTTGAAATTCACTTAGTCTCTGCTGGTGATGTTTAGGTTTTTCAAAGAGCATAATTGTTGTAGAGAAACACACCTTATTTTTTTTTCTTGCTTTTACTTATTGACACAAACAGTCCCACTGTTTTCGTCCAATTAGATACGAGATTGAATAACCCAAATTTTACAGACGCCTCTGTCAAAAATGAAGGCTTGAATCATATATCTGTAATTTCTACATTTTGTCACCAATAAGGTCCATTTGAACTTGTGCATATTCTCTCTCTTTTATATAGATACGGCAGATGATTCATCATTGGAGGAGGGGAAAACCTTATTATGGAAGAGATGACAAATCAAGGCAAGCTGCGCCCTAGAAAAAAAAAAGGCAAGGGAGGAACTTTGCTAGTTATCCAAGTTTTCTGTTTCGCTCAAAAAAGCCGTACTTTTTCTTTTTTTTGAAAAAGAACTTTTGTAAAATCAATGGGTCAATGTCAAAAGAAGACGACGACATATTCTCACAGTGTATATGTGTGTGTGTCATGTATAAGTTGGCGTAACAAAGCATTCAATCAAGCCACTGTATGTTTATATAAAAATAATATTTATTGAAATAAGTTAGCACATTTACATTTTTATAATAAAGAGGAGAGAGGGGGTTATAGGGATGCTGTTATTGTGTAATAAATAAAAAAAGAGAGTATTTTTCCATACATTATCTCCTACACAAATATTACTTTACAATATATAAAAAAAGTGTGTGTATAAAAGAGATAAGAAACAAAAATGCCAAAGAAGAAAAAAAGGTTAGAGTGTATAAACAAGTTTAAATTAACCATGGACGGAAGAAGGATTTACAGAGAGTGTCGTTAGTATTAGTTGTATTAATAGTAGTATGCTGATAACTGGGAATCTGAGATACATAATTGCGAATTGGACAATGTTTCATTTGTTCTTCTACATCAGGTGAATCAAGATCAAATAAAAGTTGATGAGGTAATAAACTTTCTGCGTTGGATGGAAGAAGTGAATCTTCATAATCAACAAAAGGTGCATAGTTACGTTTCAATGGTTGATCACCCAAAGCAGGAGGAATAGTAGTAGCAGTAGCTGCAAAAGGAAAAGATGTATCATTGTACCATTGGTTAGGTTGAAACATCTTTAGATTCTCGGTGAATGCGGATGGGAACACCATAGGCTCTCTTTTTGATGATTCCGTTCCACGAAACACGGTCGTACTGAGAGTAGTAGTAGTAGCACTTGTACCCGTCACGCTACCCATCTTGTCATTTTCTTCTTTAATCTTTGCATCATCTCCAGGTAAACTGAAATGTCTAAAAGTACAGCGAGAACCATAAGGGCAAGCACCTGTCTTGTGAAAGGTACGGCACTTTTGAGTCTTGTATTTAGGATGCCTTTCGATTTCTCGTAAATCCTGTGCACCATGAGCATACTGGCATTTTAATCCATATCGACATTGACCAGTTTCTTCCCAGTTACGACAGAGCTCAGTCTTGTACAGACTCTTTTGCTTCTTTTCTGTTTCTGATGATTGTTGTTTTTTAGTGTTCTTTATCTTTTTCGTATTTTTTGAGTATTCAATCAAAGAATCATTATCAGAATCGAGCTCATCTTTTTTGTTTACTAAAATAGATATAATAAAGTCAGCATCAGATTCTTTCATTGGTGTACCGGATATACAAAAAATTTTTTAATCCACGAATGTTACTTACATTTAACTTCACGTTTCTTCAAGACAGCCTTGTTGAGTCGTTTATGGTTATTTTCTAATGAGTTGGTTGAGTTGGTCGAATCACTCTCTTCTTCTTCAGAGAAGCATGTATTTAAATCATTCATCATCGGGCTAGATTTAATTGATTTATCCATACAATTTTCAAATTCAAAACTACTGCGGCTGGTTAAATCCATACTATTTGTCAATGGGAAACTAGACATGATTTTATATACAAATAAATAAAGAAGAAGGGGCTGTTGAAGCTGATATGTGTCAATAAAATAAAAAAAAATTAAAGAAGGAAAAAAAAAAGGGTTAAAATGTCAAATGGAACCTTTTTATATTTTTCTAAAAAAAATTATTATCCCAGAGTCACTCCACTTGCTTTATTCTATATCGGGGGGAGCAGGCTATGGGGGGACCGACCATGGAAAGACTCCTAGACTCACTTTATTGGTCAGCCATGTGACCTGCTTTCGAACCCTGTCCCTTGGGTTACATGGCATCCCACCCCCCCCCCAACAATAGGCCTGGCCTTTTGTTGATGAAAAAAAAAAATCTCCTGTTTATGATGAGGGTCGTCGTACGCTCACCAAACAAATCGCTGCAAAAAAAAAGATGGCTACGCAAAGAAAATGTAGAACTCAGCCACGGCAACCATGACAAACTTTGGGAATCATTCGATCCACATATTCCTCCCACGTCATGCTGATATCCTTTGTCTGTCAATTGCTCCTCTCTCTCTCACTTTCTTTTTTTTACTATTTCCCCATTCTTTGAATACATGTGTTTATGCTCTTCTCCTATTCGCCCCCTCCCTTCTCTCTCTTTTTTCCCACTTCAACAGAATGTATGATCTGCGTAGTTTATAATTTTGGACAATACGCAGCATAACAATCATATTGATGGCTCAGCAAAATTAACTCTTTTTCCAATGATAATCCAGATAACGCAGCGTTTTTATTAATTCAGTAAGTGTCCTTTTTTTATTATTTGTTTATAAGGCGCATCTTTTTCCTCTTGTAACCTTAAATGAGACGCCCATCCCTAAAGCCATGGATTTTGTAATAAATTGTAAGATGATTAATTATTGAGTATTTTTCTTTATTAAAATATCTAGAAGCATCTCAAATTTTTTTTATTCTTCCTCCCAGTCTGAAAATTCGGAAAATCAAATAGGCATCTGTCAATAAAGATTGTCTCTCTTTAGCATCCGACCCATCTTTTTTTTTTACTTTGTTGGTATGACTTCTTCCGCATGCCAACCAGGAGCATTCATTGATAGGGAATCCAAATGAATCTTTCCACCTTCTCTGACCGTAGCCGATGCAGTCACTTCGCAGCTTCCACCCTTAGGCCCCTGAGACGTTTCGTCGGACAACCAAAAGTTAATGACTACCTGGTGCAGCTTTCCATCTTTGTCTAGCCGGGTCGTTTCTGATTTGTACACGTCGTCCCAGACGAGATCCTTTACATGATCTAACCCAAACTCCTCTAGTATCTGCTTGCCTTGATCTGTACTTTCAAAGTATTCTCTAAGTTGTCGAATCGCTTCTTCTCTCACAAGCTCAGTGGCTCGATGAGAGCTCATACTCGATACCAGTCGTTCTGTTATCGTCACCAATTGGGAAGAAGCCGGTGACAGATAATCCCACCAGTTCTTGGCTCGCTTGTACAGTCTCCAAAAGAACACGGATGTCGCTCCTCCTACAGCGATCCACACGGCGGGCCCCAGGACGGAACTGAGCAAGGTGGCAGCACCAAGACCACCCAACACCATCTGACGGTGTCGTTTACTCGAAATGGCTAATGCCAGTCTCGGAATCGTCATGAAAGATATCGTACGCACCGGATGATACGAGGTTGGACAGGGATGACCTGACTTTTTTGGTAGTGGTCGGACCGTTTTTATTCGGTTGACATGATGCATCACCCGCAGTGTTCTTGATCCCAACATTAAAATAAACAATGAAAATAAAGAAAAAAGGCGTAGACAAAAAGAATAATAATAATAAAAAAAAAAATGCAACTCATATCGCTCTTTTTTTATTGTCATGACATCATGGTTACATATGTTGCATAATGCTCTCATATTTCGCCTTGATCTCGTCCTTGCTCTTCTCAAGAGGTCTCCATCGAATGCCTAGACCCGTTTCTGTATCTGGCTTAGGAATAACATGAAAGTGAACGTGAGGGACTGCTTGATTAGCCAATCTACCGTTATTCTGTAACATCTGATTTAGAACAAGGTTGCATATGTATATATATAAACAGCTTTTTGCATACTTGTAACACATTATACTGAGAATAACCTCCAGCTGCAGCAATCTTTTTGGCAATAGGCATCGTCTCAGACAAGTACTCGTCAGGCACTTGATGCATAAATTCTGCGTGATCTAGAACTCAATAAGTAAATAGAAGCATTTTGCTTGTACTTTTTTTGTACATTTAGGAATAATAAGCTAAACAAACAAGAGTTGATAAAGAATTACTTTGCTGTTATTTTACTTACAGCATGACCTTCACTTAGAGGTTCAATATCCATAAATGCGAAACTAGGGTTGTCTGTTAAAACAGTATTTTTATTAGTAAAAAAATACCTCTTGTCGGTTTCGACCAGTTTAAATGAGGGAATCTCATGTCTAAGTTGTGTTCACATCAAGGCGTATATATATGAACTTGTTTCTTACCTTATTATCTTGCAAAAAATACAGTTATCAGAAAGATGCTGAGAAGCAGTTGACATGGTACGTTTGGAAAGTTTAAAAGTGTGAGTAAAAGGTCGAAATAACGCTGTCATGTTCAAGCAAAGAGAAAAAAAAAACATCCCTTTTGGGGTTTATTCTTTCATGTATTTAGACTCAGATGGCCAGCCATCTGTTTATGAGATCTTGGTTGAAAGCAGGCTAGGTAATTTAGATAACAGTGAACTAGTAGTACTCGTGCCCAGAATATTAGGCAACATTTGACTAATCTTGTTTAATACATCCTGTTGGCCGGGAGACTATAATATAAAAGTCAGGATCAGTCTAGTTTTTATATTGTTTAACACAACTTACGTTCATTGGGCAGTCAAAGCTGGCCGAGCTTGAATAAGGAACATGGATGGAAATACCAATGATGTTGACTGTAGCGACAACCTTGTAATCCAAATTGATCTTTTGGGCCTGTCCTCCTCCGATGCCACAGTCGGACATTAGTTTACTAGCTATAGCCTGATCTTGTGGACTGGTAATATCGACTTTGAGGGTAAATGGGAATACAAAGTTAGTATAGCCATTAGATGAGATATGAAGATCCTTGATTGATCCTTGACCAATCGATGTGTTGCCGTATCCATGATAATAAATCTATAGAGAGAAAGAGTTAACGAATATTCGATGGCTACTTGAACATACCTCTGCGTCTAAAGATGTAAATGTAATACTTTCAATATTTGGATTGTTGACAGTGAAACCCAGGCTTGCATTTACACTGAGGACTGTGTTGTTTATATTGAATTGAGGTGTCCCTTGAATTCCAGTAAAATCCACCTTTGGGACTTTGAATTGAGATGCGAGTACACCAATGACAATAGCAAGGGCAATGATGAGAATAAACAATATACAAGATATCCATCGACACCATCTAGGACAACATGTACAGCATCCACAGCATACTCTATCACAACAACTCATGGGCGGACTTGTGTTGTATCGAGCGTATCTTTCAGTGCTTTCTGGATAATAGGGTTCCTTGTAGTATCCATCAGCTGTCGTTGGTCTCACTGCGTTATTGTTCATGTCATACATAGGATATGCTTCATGATAATAAGGCTGTTGTTGTGGTGGTGGTTGTTGATGTTGTTGTGGTTGGTAGTAATAGTTTGACATATACAAATGAAAGGAAAGGGTAAAAAAAAAAAAAAAAAAGGGAATATAATTATAAAATTAATCTGAAGCCAATCATACCGATGCGGTACCTGCAATATTATCTGTGCAACACTTGTTACACGTAGATCGTTTTTAAATATAGCAAAAGGTAGTAAATTTATTAGGACATGAAATTTTGATTTATTCTATTCATCAAGCGTGCCTCTTCTAGCTCTTGTTCTTTTTGTTCTAATTCTTCATAATTTACAAGATCTCCATAATAAGCTGTCAATGCCTTCACTTTGCCATAAAGCGCATTCATCTCAATCTCGCACGTGTTTCCTGGTCCGGCTAGTTGTGCCAGCTGTCGAGGGTTTGTATTTCGAGGCACAAAGTATGCAATATTGGGTGTAATATTGTTTGCTAGTCGAAATATATGGAATCTAAGCATGGGTGAGTAAAGAATATATAAATAAACAAAGCATACTTACCCATCACCGGGTATCATCGATTTTAAATCAAATACGCTTGAATTCAAATAAGACGGTCCACCCCATGGAGGAGAAAGAAAGACGACGTCAGCCTGTATGAGCATGAGTTTTATATATATATATATATATATATCTTGGCGTTATTTATTTACCTTTAAAAATGGAGCAAGTTCAAAAAAATTGCCCTGGATAAACTCAATTCTATCCTCCACTCCATAAATTCTAGCATTCACTCGCGCACAATGTAGTTTGACAGGATCAATGTCTATTGCTATCACACGATGACAAGTCAATGCAAATTGAATGGTATTTCCACCACATCCACAAAATGCGTCAATGATAATATCAGATCGACATCGTTCTGCGATATGTCTGGCAATCTTTTCAGGGGTTACAGAGAACCATCCCTCTATAAGAAAAAGATGATTAATAATAATAATAATAATAATAATAAGAGAGCTTGCCTTTATCCATCAAAATGCCTTTATCAAACATTGAAAAGTAATCATGCCGTTGATTATAGTACCTATTGATATATTAAACATACAATCCCCTTGGCTTTTATGTTTATTACTTTTGTATGTCTTGTGGTATCTGTTCACTTGTATACGAGACAAGCACTCCATTATATCTATCGTTTGTTGCCTTCTTGTTCTTTTGTTTTCTTCTTTTTTTGGTAGGTCGTTCATCATAACCAGCATAGGGATCACTTCTTGGCTGTTTATTTACTTTATGATTACTGTCTATTGTAGATCCTTTTAGATCTTGTTCATTCTCTTTCTGATTTTGTTGATCAAGTTTATTCTCTTTCTGATCTTGTTGATCAAGTTCATCATGAGTCTGATCGTCGTTTTGCTGTACTTGGTCTGATTCTATGATAGGTTCGGAAAGTGAGGTATTCACATGCTCAGTTGAATTTTCTGATTCAGTCATGCTGGCTTTGTCTGACTCTGAGTTGCTTTCAGGAGACGTCGTTAGTTGTTCAATAACGATGATGGCATCTTTTGAATCTTTTTTCATATCAGAGAGAATCTATGTTAAATAAAACATCAAGTTTTTTCTTTTTTAATGAAACTCCGTGCTTGTTTCCTAATTGGTAACACGAAATGAATATGAAGGGAAGACAGAGGATAGTCAAATCTTGCATACTTTACTACCATAGATTTCTCTTGTGGGAATAGAAGAGAGGATTTCTAAGCTAGCTTGAAGTTCAAGAGATGGAATGTCGTTCTTGATCTGCCCGAAACTTTTGATTGAAAAAATACTGTCAAAGTTTTCTTTTACAAGTAATGTGGGATGCTAGTCCTACACTCTATTTTTTTCTTCGCAAACGCCGTAATATTCTTTTTCTCACTCCTCTCACTTTTCAAAGATAACAGCCCTTAGAATGTCTTCTTCTTGTGAATTTCTCCCAGTCAAATACGACTACTGTTTTAACCTTTGGCTCTATTCCCACATACATGCGTACATATACACACACACATACACACACCAACAGAACATCATATTAATGCAGCAATGACTTTAGTATGACGCTCATTATTATAATTCGCATAAAATATACAATCACACTTTAAACAATAATCATGAAGAAGAAGATAGCACAGAAAAGAATAAAAGAAAGAAAAGAGCATAAGACAGCTACTACAGTGTGTCAATGTATAAATATGACAGATATTATACATGCATAGATGAAATAAGCTTATATGCATGGGTATAGTATTGTCATTATGACAGCGCTTTTGAATGATATAAAAAGGAGAAAGATTGATAGCACAATTTTCTGCATTATTGATCATGCCTTCAAAAGTTATTCTTAGCGGTAACCGTAACAAGTACTATGTCATCTGTAAGGATGGTATGGTTGACAAATGGAAGCAAAATAAATCCATGTCTATTGATGATGTCGTCTGTGGTAAGTTCTCTCTTTTATACATATCAAAATATAGCCATTAACATAGACTAGATAAAAAGATCTATGCTTCAAGTGGTGCTGACCCTCAAGATTATGAAGCTAGTTATGATAATCCTGATTTCAGAGAAACGTTTGGCTCTGTTCAGTTCGAAGACGCCGCTTGCAAGATCCTCGAAAAGGGTCAACAAACTTCTTGTTAAAAAAGTAATAAAAAGCTGACAATGCGTAGTTTATTTTTGAATATATGTGTGTGTGTGGTGCCTGGCCTAAAACAACTCCGGTTGACATGTGTGGGTAAAGGTCTCTTTTATGTACAATTTCTGATTCGTCAGCAGGAAAACTTTCAGTTAATGATTTTCACATGAAGAACTAACCTCCGTTGGGTATTTTTGCTTACTCCACATTTATACCGGGAGTTCAATTTATTTTGAATTTATAAGTCTCTTTTTATTTTTTTCTTTGCCTTTTTCTCTTTTTTTTTATTAAACAAAATGGCTTCTCGTCTTCAACAAGTTACTAGTCACTTACTTCCATCCGATAACGTTGCCAACAAGGTTGGTGTTAAGTCTCCTGAAGATGTTGTTATTGTCAGTGCTCTTCGTTCTGCAATCACCCGTGCTCGTAAGGGACCTTTCAAGGATACTTTGCCCGAAGAAATCTTGGCTTCCGTCTTCAAGGGCATCATCGACCAAACCAAGATCGACCCTGCTATTGTCAACGATATTGCTGTTGGTAACGTCTTGCCTCCTGGTGGTGGAGCCACTAATGCTCGTATGGCCGCTCTTTATGCTGGTTTCCCCGAAAGCGCCGCTGTGAACACGGTCAACCGTCAATGTTCCTCTGGTCTTCAAGCCGTCGTTCAAATCGCTACTGCTATTCAAGCTGGCTTGATTGAAGTAGGTATCGGTGCTGGTGTTGAATCCATGACCAAGAACTACGGTCCTGCTTCTCTTTCTCCTACTTCTGAAAAGATTGCTGATGCATGCCCTGCTGCTGCTGACTGTCTTCTTCCTATGGGGTAAGTTTTAAACATTGGAGTCAAGAAAAGGAGTAATAACATCTTATTAGTATCACTTCTGAAAACGTTGCTGCCGAATTCAATGTCACACGTGCCAAGCAAGATGCATTTGCTGCTGAATCTCACCGCAAGGCCACCGAGGCTCAAAAGAACGGCTGGTTCAAGGAAGAAATTGTTCCTATTGAAGCCACTGTACTTGACAAGGAAGAAAAGGAACACAAGGTGATTGTCGATCGTGATGATGGTGTTCGTCCTGGCACAACCGCTGAGAAGCTTGCCAAGTTAAGACCTGCCTTTGACGAAAACGGAAGCACAACTGCCGGTAACGCCTCTCAAGTCTCTGACGGTGCTGCTGCCGTTCTCTTGATGAAGCGTAAGACTGCTGAAAAGTACGGCTTGCCTATTCTCGGTAAATATATCACATCCGCTGTCGTCGGTGTTCCTCCCAGAGTCATGGGTATCGGTCCTGCCTTCGCCATCCCTGTTGCTGTCGAACGCGCTGGATTGAAGCTTGAAGATGTTGATGTCTATGAAATCAATGAAGCCTTTGCTTCTCAAGCTGTCTATTCCATCGAAAAATTGGGCATTCCTTTCGAAAAGGTCAACCCCAAGGGTGGTGCTATTGCCTTTGGTCATCCTTTGGGTGCTACCGGTGCTCGTCAAATCGCTACTCTTTTCCCTGAATTAAAGCGTCAAAACAAAAAGATCGGTGTCACTTCCATGTGTATCGGTACTGGTATGGGTATGGCTGCTGTCTTTGAACGCGAGTAAATAATATATTATTGAAAATTTGTAAATAAAGCCTTTTTTGGATTGAGATATTTTATTTATAAACAAACATTTAAAATAAGAGAGGGGGGGGGGTATTAAGTAATGACACGGCTCAAGTTCTTTTTGGTAGGAGTACGTGGATACGTAATCAAGCCCTTTTTCATGCCATCTAATAATGCAGAGGGGTATTCATACTGCTGCAAGGACATCAAGTGACCATCAATCACCTTTGAACCTAGGACTTGTACGTCAATTTGTAAATACCGATCACAAATCTCTGATGTTTGATTATAAGGAGAAATAAGGGACAACATGGGTTTGCCCTTATAGATCACGCTTGGAGTCATGGGTGAAGCCATCTGAGAGAATTCCTTCGAATACAGATAGACATGGCTACTTTCGCTACTTTCTGTTTTTTCTAGCTTGTGGTTAATCCACGTTTGCAAGTCACGTGGTCGTACAGAGTCAATCAGGACGAGATCTGTCTGCTGGTGGTTTTCATGGTAATATGGTTTCACATCGTACTGACTGAAGAGAAATAATTATTATTAGTGATTAATAATAATTAAATTGTGATATTTTTCTAGTACCTTGGACTTTCAATCAAAGGATACTGCTTATTTATCATTAATGAAGACCCGCCTACAGTTAGGCGACCATTCAGAGACCTTGAAGGTAAAGTGAAAAGGGCAAAAGAAAATAAAAGAATCTATAATGACGGTTAATTATGCATATATTTGTACATATCAGCTCATAGTTACCATGAATACGACGCCTGTTGCCTTGGTTGTCGATGATTTTGTATGACTGTGGTTGGACGATAATCTCTGTTTCAGTTCTGAATTTTCTTTTTCCAGTTCCTTCACTCTCTTTTCCAGCTCGTCTACTTTGCCATGCAGTTTTTGATTTTCTTCTTCTAATTGATTTACATGTTCTCTTTTTCGTTTTCGAGATAATAAGGCAGCTGCTCTATTCTTTATTAGCCTCTCTTGTCTTTTTGCAAGTTGAGCCTGTTTTTGAGCTTCCTGTTCTTCTGTCAGTTCCTGCTGTACTTCATCTTTTTCAATTTTAACAACGATTGGCTCGCTTGGAACAGGCGTGGTAGGACGAGGTGCGAGTGGTTTAGGCGCTAATAAGCTAGGTGGTGCAGGCTGCATCGCTGGTGGTACCTCACGCTTCTTTCGTCCTCTCTTCTTTTTGGGTTGTTCAACTGGTATGGCATTAGGTAAATACCCAGTGGGTAAAAAGAAGGGTGTTGTAAATGAGTGAAAAAAGTCATTATTTGGTTCCTGAGGGTTCTGTTGACTATATTCATCAAGATGGACTGTATTCGTTGGCCAATCATTTAGCAATAAATCACTGCTCATGTCCAGCATAAAATCACTGACTGCTTGCTTTTCGGGTGAGTATCCACCTGTGGATGATGATGAGGATGTGGTTGAATTGGGCGGTGATAAAGGTGCTTCTGCAGATAAGTAATCTGTATTCAAATAAGATGACATAAAATCATCTTCAGGTTCAAGTTTAACGCACGTTGACATTTTTTTTAAAAAAAAAAAAGAAAGAAAGAAAAAGAGAGAAAAAAGAAATAAAATAAATATATTTTTGGAAATAAACTCCCCTTTTTACTCTCTCTGTGTTTCTCTTTCTCAAAGTCCGCACATAGTCTCTTTTTTTTTTTCTTTCTAAAAATACATACACTTATGGAGTTGCCTGACATTCAAGATTTTGAAGCATCAAAGCTTGGCACAAAAACATAGTAAAATAATCCAAAATACTAAAAACTGGAAATAATGTCTAATGATCAGTTCAATAGTTGGGATGCCGTTTATGATCGAGAAAATGAAAACTTTAAAGAGATTGGAGATATTGGTGAGATCTGGTTTGGAGAAGAAAGTGTAGAGAAAATGGTCGAATGGGTGACTGAAAATGTGACTGATCCTCAAACACACATTGTCGACCTGGGATGCGGAAATGGTCATTTATTACTTGAACTCGCTCAAGAAGGATACAAATCACTTCATGGCATCGATTATTCAGAATCAGCTGTCATCTTGGCTCGATCGATCGTCAAGGAACGCCAAATCGAAGGTGTTCGTTATGATGCGGTTGATTTTTTGTCGAATCCTCTGTGGTTTGAACACACGTATGAAGTGGTTCTAGACAAAGGTACCTATGATGCCATCTCTTTGCATCCTGATCAAGAAGAAGCAAAGAAACAGGGTCTGCCGGGTCCAAGAGAAAAATATGTCGAGGCCGTTCATGCGATGATTGATAAAGACAAGGGCTTATTCTTGATCACGAGTTGTAATTGGACAATGGAAGAATTAATAGAGAATTTCAAACAATGTAAGATTGTATACATCTAATATATGTCTTTTTTGCTCATAACTTATATAGATTTCAAGTTTCACTCAAGCGTAAAATACCCTGTATTCCAATTTGGTGGACACGTTGGCTCAAAGATATGCACTGTTGCATTTCAGCCCATTTAAATAAAATATATAAAAAGATCCCTTTTTTCTTTTATTCTGATTACTGACGCTCCCATCCTTGGTTCTTGTTAAACATTTGGTGAGGAGGAATACCTATAAAATATGTGTGAGCATAACTGATAACAAATGTACATTAATAATTACCGTTTGTTATAACATAAGGTGGCATGGGTTGCATCATATCTCTCTGCATATGAAACTGTCCTTGTAAGAAAGGATGAGGGGGCATCATTGGCCTCTGTGCAGCATTAGGAGGAGGCAGTGGCGGTGGCTGCATCATCATGTGTGGAGGTAAGAATTGCTCGGGATTTCCATTAGCTCTTGGGGGTGGCATGCCACCATTCATAGGGAACATCTCCATCATCTGTTGATGAGGTGAGTAAGGGGGCTGTTGGTAAGGGAACACTGAAGGATACTGTTGAATGGGTTGGTGAATAGGTTGTTTAATAGGTGAATTTCTAGCAACAGCTGCAGTGGATGTTGTTGCAGTCGAATAGTTAGCAGTGTGAGTAGACTTGCTAGTTTGTAGTGAGGGAGAGGAGCGTGCGCTCATTTGACGTAAAACAGCTGTAGGCAAATTGTTACCGAATCGACTAGACATGATAGGAGTAGATGGCTTGCTATTACCGCTTGCTTTAACCTCTGCGGTAGCTGTTGTTGCTGACGGTACATCAGGCACTGGAGTAGAAGTAGCAACAGTAGCAGTTGTAGGAGCAGCCGCTGTAGGAGCAACAGTGGTAATACCAGTCGTATTTGTCGTCGCTGTCGTTGTTGAAGCCATGGTAGGTGGCATGTTTTGTTGATTTTCTTTATTATCACTTTCAATCATGTAATTATCAGGAGCAACATTACTGTTAGCAGTAGTGGTGGCTGAAGCTGCAGTTGCTGTAGGGGAGGGGATAGTGGGCTAGTAATAATAATATAAATATCATACTCATGATTCATGAACAGGGCTTACCTTTGGCTGAGATAGTATCTGAAGAACTCGATTGAATCCTATTGCATCACCTGTTCCAGCTGGCTTATTACTATTATTTTTTTTCGCGCCCAATGACTGTAAGATATCATCTTCAGACAAGACATGAACTTCATTATTACTTGCTGGTTGTTGTTGTTGTACCCCTTGGAATAGATCATTGATGCTAATTGATTTTGGTTCAGCAGCAGGTGCTTGATGTTGGTCTTCTTCTTCCTCACGTTTAGCAAAGAATTTAGCGAATCGAGAGCCTGTTTGATTTTCACGACGAGGAGTTAACAATTCTGTCTCCTTTACGAAGAAATCATCAAAGCCATTCTTTTGATCAAGTGATAAAAATGAAAAAGCCTGTTCCGTTTCTATTAAAAAAAAGAATTAAAATAAAAGTAAAAGATGTGGCCTTTATAGACGTACCTTTTTGACCCAATTTGTCAACAAAGCCTTTACTTTCCTCGAGGCCGTCCTTCTTCTTCATTGTGGATTTCCATAGCTCCAAATCATTTGTCACTTCTTTTTGTTGTTGTTGTTGCTGTTGCTGTTGTTGGTCTTTAGATTCAGGATTATAGTCTAACCACTCGGGTACTCTTTCATTATAATTGTTTGTGTTGTGTTCATCCATTCTCATTCGATTGGAAGATGATTGATTATGATGATGTTGACTATGATAGTGATTATCTCGCTTATTACTATTATTATTATTGTATCTCTTGTGTGGTGATGCATTCATGTATTTCGATTTATTGCTATTACTGTTGTTGTTAAGGCCTTTTTCTCCCATAAAGGAGCGAGGATTACGATTGCTATTGTTGTTGTTGTTGCTGCTACTATCAGTCTAAAGGAAAAGAAGTGTTTATGATATAATCCTTTTATATAATCTGCTTATTTTACCTTGTGTCTTGTATGCTTCATCGAATTGCTGTCATCATTCTTTTTGAATCCGCCATATAACGAAGAAACAAAGTTGGCTTTTTGTGGACAAAGTAAGATATTCTTATCTACTCCTACTGTCATTATCTATCATACAAACCAATCCTTCAATTTACCTGTTGAAACACCATTACTATGAGTACGTGATATATTCGAACCATTTAATATATTCTTTAGGATAGGAGACCCTGGGTCCTCGCTTTTTTTTATGGTTAGCCCTTTTGAACATTCAAAGTAAAAACACATACCCAAACCATGTTGATAGACAAGGTAAAGTGTCTGGCTTCTTTACAAGTGGACTGTCATGCAATTGAATCATCATTTCTTTAGAATAACGAATAACTTTTCTTGATTCATATTCTGCCATTTTAATAGAATAATAAACTATAATCAATGCTTAATTTCTGTCCTTTATTTCTTTTCGTGCGCAATCTCTCTTGTTTACTTTTTTTAGTTTTGTTTTTTGTAGAGTGCTTTTTTTTTAGTTTTGATGGGTTTTCTATTGATTGAGAAAGAGAAAGAGAGAAAAAGGAAAACCAGAAAAAGGTTGCGGGGGAACTAAAAATGTGACGTGTGTGTTATGCGTGCGTTTAGCGCGGCTCATGGATTATTGGTACACAATATAAGGTCAATAACAATTACACTTTTGTTGGTTATCAGTCCTTTCTTCATTGTTCAAAAGGCAACATATAATACATAAAATGTGCTTGATGTTTTTGAGAGATACAGCCTTTCAGATCATAAAGTCATAATTTTTCAATTTTTATAATACAATTTATACGAAAAAGCGCAAAGTCAACACAGCATCTCTTTCTGGAAATGGTGTATAAAATAAAAAAAGAGGGCATCCGTATAGTGTAGCCAATACCTTATAAATAATACATAACTGATAATTGTTAGAGACTTTGTATAAATAGTCTGGTATTTACTTCTTTTTCTTTTCTTCTTTAGACCAACAGTAAGACCAGCTATTCCCCAGTTAGCCCTAAGGTATGTTATGTTATTTACTTTTGTAAGAAACTGATATGTAGCGTTATGGATCATAAAATCGAAACAATACCGGTGCTAGCTGGGGGTAGTTTGGTTCTTACCAAACCTTGGTCTCAGGCACTCTCTTTCTTGTACGCTTCTCTTTTCTCTTCTTTCTCCGGGTTGGTCATCACCAGCCCTATTTAATGCACTTCGGGTAAGATATTAATAATCTCTTTATATGTTTACTCACTTTTCCTGCTTCTTTTTCTCTTATAAATTCTCTTCTTTATAATGTAAGTATTTAACATCAATGTAAATAACTGATTTACTAATCATTTCTTTATTCATTCTTTTGTTTCTGATGGGCTCTCTTTTATCATTATTTGTTGTCTGAAATTATCATTTTTTATCAACGTGTTCATAATTTCTGAATAAAGTGTAAGACAAAGTGTTTATATGAACTCGATCACCTACATCACGCTAAGCTTCTGCCTATCCTCTCCACTCGCCTCGGGCAAAGACTATTAGAATGGCTCCCCTCTTCTCCTTATTAGTGTATCTTACATTTGATCCCATTCACTTCTTCCAAAACATTTTTACCCTTGATCCCAAAAGGATTTTTAGTCACCACTATCCTTCCTTTATAAACTACCTCAGGCGGGAAAGATGTAATATTACAATCGTGCGCCCAATAGAGGTTTTAGTTATTTATAAACGCAAGATAAAGTGTGGAAAATGGTGTGCCTAAAATCACCCAATCTGAATCTCAAAACTTTTGTAACCCGTCTTATTTTAAAAGCCTGCAGCAGCATGACCTGACATCTTTTTTTCTTTTTTGTATAAAATGTCTTCCGTTGCTATTTTAGGTGGAGGTATTTCTGGATTATCTGCAGCCTACTATCTGGCTCGTACAGCCCCTGCAGCTACAAAGATCACATTGATTGAAGGAAAACAACGCGTGGGCGGATGGATAGAAAGTAGACGAGTGACTCCAGGCAACTATGACAATATGAGTCGACTACCACCACCGGAGTCTGCGACCGACAAGGATAGTATTTTGTTTGAGGCAGGCCCAAGGACCCTTCGTCCAGAAGGTATCAACGGTGCTATTTTATTAGACATGGCAAGTAGGAAAGAGATTACTGAATGTTGCATAAAAAGTCAATAACTGTAAAGAGAGAGTAGATTAGACATCTAGACTTACATGACGAAAATTTGGTGACTGTACCCAAGTCCCACCCTTCAGCCAAACACCGTTATATTTACTACAAAGACAGTATCAACACACTCCCTTCAGATATACGTTCCATGCTACTGAACAAACCACCTATCATGAGATCAGTCCTTCTCGCTGGTCTTCTTGAACCGTTCAAGTCCTCACGATTTGATAAACGTGGCATCCCTAAATATGGACAAGACGATGAGTCAATTTACTCTTTTATGAAAAGACGATTTAACGAGCATACAGCCATTCATCTCATGGGCGCAGTTATTCACGGTATCTATGCAGGAGACATTAAGTCTCTCTCTCTCAAGTCGACACTTCCCTTACTTTATGAGGCAGAACGGAATTATGGCAGTGTTGTGTTGGGTATGATGAAAGGTGCCTCCTATGCAACCAATACAATGCGGGAAAGAGGCATGGCCGCTCGGTCTAGAAAAGACGATCCCGAGTGGTTCGGACGGATGGAAAAGATGAGTGTCTTGGGCTTCAAGTCTGGCATGGACACCTTACCCAAGCGCATTTTGAATTGGCTATCGTCCCAAGAGAATGTGAGCATCATGACGAATGACCCTGTGGAATCTGTTCAATTTACCGACAAGGAGTGTAAAATAAAGACACAGAATGCAAAAGAAATTCATGTAGATCACATCATATCCACTGTTCCTTCTACAACACTCGATACGCTCATCCGACAGGATCTCCCTCACCTCTCTCATAACCCATCTGCAGATGTTGCCGTTATCAATCTAGCTTATTCGCCCGAGGATACGCATCTGGATTATGATGGCTTTGGCTTTCTCACTCCTCATCGTGACACCCCATTTACTGTACCCGTCCCGGGAACACTCGGTGTCGTCTTTGACTCAAATGCCTTCCCGATCGAGGCCGAACGAGCTATCAAGCTGACTGTCATGATAGGAGGCTCAGATTGGAAAGATGCCTTTGGTCATATCCCTATAGATCAATTGGACCCTGAAGATGCCTACAAGTATGCTCGTAAAGCAGTCAGCCAGTTCCTTCATATCAATGCAGAACCTCGGTACTCAATGGTCAATTTACAAAAGCAGTGTATACCGCAGTACCTAGTTGGACATGAGTCACGTATGCGATCACTTCATCATGCCCTCAAACAGAAATATAGTCATCTTTTGAGCGTGTCTGGTGCTAGTTATCTCGGCGTAAGCGTTCCAGACTGCATCAAGAATAGTCGCATGTTGGTTGAAGAACTTCTTATGTCTGGTGCTTTGGGATCAAGACAAAAAGTAGTGACTGGTCTTGGTAAAATAGACGAGCAACTGACAACCGAGGAAATGAAAGATCAAGTGAGATTAAGCAAAGGCAATACAAGTGTGATCATGAAGTCATAGTGTAAATAGCATTTACATTTTGTTTTGTATCATTTGACCAATAAACATCAAAGAGCAATTCCTGGATAACATCTACGCCTTTGAATAGAGCCGAGCTTTATAACTAATCCCTTTCACCTAGAAGAGAAGAAAACGCCTTCATTGAGAATGGTTTATAAGAAAGATACTATTGATGGTTAGTAATCCTGTATAAATGAAATACAAGCTTGTGTAGGTGAAAATAACGGACCTTATTTATTCTTCTGTCAAAGTTTACAGGTTTTTAAAACCAGACTGCCTGCAAAATTTTAGGTTAAAAACCTGCAGCTTTTCACACACAACAGAGACGCGCTCTCCTATTTTTTCTTCTTTTTATTTCTTTACTATGACCTCAATAAATAAAGAACAATTACAAGATCTCTTTGAAAAAGCTTTGAAAGGTTATTTTATCTTGGTTATTCTTGAACAGTTACTTACATAGCCCACAGCCAGAGAGTACTCATACTCTCCTTATTCCAAGTTTCGAGTAGGCGCTGCCTTATTATCTGACGATGGAACGGTATTTACAGGTAATAAAGATATAGCTATGTGCATTCTTATTCTAATGTTGAACTCCCTAGGCTGCAATGTTGAGAATGCTTCCTATGGTAATGTCGAGATCAGGGGGAGAGGCAATGTTTTTCCCCACACTATACTAAACAAATATTAGGTGCGGCGATTTGTGCAGAAAGAACAGCTTTTGTCAAAGCAGTGGTAAGTTGCAAGTGTATACAATAGAATCCAACATAACTCTCGCCCGTAGAGTGAAGGTCATCGTAAATTTACGGCCTTGGCTGTCTCAACCGATCAAGAAGAATTTGTTTCTCCTTGCGGCATTTGCAGGTAAAAGCAAGTAATACTTTAGTCCCTTTTAAACATATTAATATGAACAATAGACAATTTATATCTGAATTTGTTACGGCATCAACACCCGTTTATTTCTTAAATGCAAAGGGCGATCATCGAGAATACACCTTTGGACAGTTATTACCACTTGCATTTGGATTAGAACAAGGCGAAAGGTATCTTCAATAAATCTCTCTCTATTTCATCATGCCTGATGCTCCTGCTGTCACGAATCTCGTCAATAGATGAGTCAGAATGTTTCTTCTTTGTTCCATCGTGAGTCTTTGAAAGGCTGTATAAACAGATACACCTACCAACAACTGTTATTCATTTTAATTGTAAAAGTTCTGTTTACCTTTGTGATCCCTCACTTGACCAATTGTTTTTCCCGCCAATGCACCCTATTACCACAAAATGACTGTGTTATGAAAACATACAAAAAATAAAAAAAGCACACTTACAATAGCGGCTCCAGGTATATTGCCGAATATAAAGCCTAGGATGGCTCCTGCTCCTGCGCCAAGGATTCTCCAGTGATAGCTTGGATGCTCCACTATGACAAATAAGGTTAGAAAGATTGAATTCTCTTTAATTTTTTTTTACCTTCAGCCCTCAGCAACTCTTCAAAGACGTCACCGAATAAATGGTTTGCCTGAGATGGTGAAGAGCTAGGTCTGGCAGAAGAGAATGGAGTGAATCGGTCTTGATGAGATCTTGAGCGATCATAGGATTCTCGCCTGGATCGATCACCCAATGTATAATAAGCATCTGCTACAAGTTGAAATCGCCGTGTTGCTTCCTGTCGCTCTGAAGGAGTGGCACTGCTGCTCATTCTATCGGGATGGTTCAATAAGGCTTCCTTTTTATAAGCTATAATATGATTGCTATCAATAAAGATATTCAAATCATTACACCCATTACCTTCTCTTATTTCATCATGAGTTGCTGATGGTGATACACCAAGTATCTCATAATAGTCTGGAAGATTTGTCATTTTAAGAAAAAAAAGAGAAAACAGCCTAAATTCTCTCGGCTGCATGAAACTCTATGAGCTGTGACTGCATAATTATTTGAACAAGGGGCGCAAGAAAAAAAATGAGATGCTAAAGTTTTTTTTTTTTTTTTATTAGGGAAGGTTCAAGTATGATTAGAACAGGCATCAACGGTCTTTACCGCGTCACAAGGAAATACAGTACACTTGGGGAATTGCTTGCAGTAAGCAGAAAACCGTCTAATGTATCTAGTCAACAACGTATATCTCGCCCAGCCATTCCACTGCAGATTACCAAGCCGACCATAAGCACTCCTCCGCCTAAACCAGCACCCTTGAACCGACCCAAAAGAGACGAAGAGATTGATTCAAACTATATCACCTTTGTAGATGCAGAGGGACAGGTGCACAACCGACAGCGTCTAAGTCAGGTGTTGACAAGCTTTGATCGTTCACAATATTTCTTGGTCCAAGTCGACCCTTTAGCTAAACCTCCAGTGTGCAGATTGTTTGATAAGAAGGCTCTATTTGAAAAAGAAAAATCCAAAAAGAGAGGCAAACAGACATCACCGGAATCTGTTACAAAGGAAATCATGTTTGGTTGGAACGTCAGTCCGCATGATATGGATCATAAATTAAACAAGGCATGTCAATTCTTGGAAAAGGGGAATAAAGTGAAGATTGAAATAAATCATAAAAAGGGACAGAATAGAATTACCAAAGATGCCCAACAGGAAGTAATTCAATCTGTCATAGATGCGCTAAACAGTTATAAATTAGTAAAGAAACCCGTGTTGAATGGACACACGTGTATAATGCAATTTGAAAGAAAGTAAAACGTATTTATTATTCCCCATCTCATTCATTCTTGTACAAATAAAATGTCATAAATCAAACTGTCAATTATTTCAGTCTCTTTGTATTATTTATCAAGTGTTTATAGGGTAAATACGACATAGGGGGAACATAAATCATTCATTCCTGTATAAAATAAAACCTGTTTATTCGTTTTATAATATAGCATGTGCCGTTCTATTCTCTTCTTCTTCTTCGTTCCTAGGATCATGTCTTTCTCTCTCTTGGACAAAGAACTTTTCTAATTGAGTGGGATCAATAGGATATGTGTTTTGTGGTGCAGGAAACTTTCTTGATTTGACTTCTTCATGGTATTCTCTTAATGCATTCGTAATAATTTGATTCAAGTTACAGTATTGCTTTGTAAACCTTATAAAGGGCTTAATGATCCATAAAAAACTATATATGTATTACTTACTTTGGAACGAATCGATCAAATAAACCCAAGGCGTCGTTTTGAACCAAGACTTGACCAGAACAATTAACACCTGCTCCAATACCAATGGTTGGGATCTTTAATTGCTCTGTAATGTAGCCAGCAACTTCAGCCGGAATGGCTTCCAGAACAACAGAAAAGGCACCAGCTTCTTGAACGGCAAGAGCATCATCGAGCAACGCACGAGCTTGTTTGGCTGTCTTGCCTTGTACTCTAAAGCCTCCGAGAGCAGACTGACGCTGAGGTGTCAAACCGACATGGGCCATCACAGGTACGCCTACACGAGTGATCCGATGGATCGTTTCAGCCATCTCAACACCCCCTTCCAGCTTTACTGCCTAAAATATCAAATGAGTACATAGAAAAAGAGAGAAAGAGATTGATGCATTTACCTCTACATTGCCTTCCTTGATGAATCGAAGGGAAACCTTGACCGCGTCTTCAGGGCTGGCCTCATAACAACCATAAGGTAAATCGGCCACAAGGAAAGGCGCTTTGGCTCCTCTAGCAACAGCACGACAGTGATGAAGCATTTCCTAGAGACAGAATGAATAATAAATATAAAAATTAAATCATTGTGTATTTACCTCAACTGTCAAGGGATTTGTGGAATCATACCCCAGATTGACCATAGCAAGTGAGTCGCCAACAAGGCACACATCAATGCCAGATTGGTCTACCATTAAACCTGATGGATAATCTGCAGCAGTCATGACAGATATAGGTTCTCTTCTTTTGTACATGTTTTGGATAGTTTTAATAGACACCTTGGGTCTTCCTATAATTTGTTACACAATAAGTCAGGGTTAGGACATCAGTGCCTTAAAATTTTTTTTGAACCAGTATTTACTTTGCGCAGTAAGAGGACTAGCTTCCACTGGTCTACTCGAGTAATGTCTAGGTAAGATTACCCTTGTCTTTATTGAATTGTTAAAAGATTTGCTGCTTATTGAGCGTAGGAAAGACATTTAATTTACGATTATTAATAAGAATTATAACAAAAAGGAGAAGCTGACAGACAGTTATTTTATATTCGTTCGTTGTTTCTCCACTTTTTTTAACTTTCTTTCTATTTTAATCCCAGCTATCCAATGGTCGGGTTTTGAATGTATGTAGGCACTCCACTCTGCAATACACTTTTAAACTTAGGAGCAATAAAAAAAAGTTTATCGGTATTCAGTTAAAGCTTTATTATGGGGATATGTTACAATTCAATATCGTCTTGGGCAAACATTCCACCCAAAGTAATCTTTTCACCTGCATTAAAAGCAGGCATACCAAGATAAGGACAAGTTGAGCATCTGAAAGCATCACCCAGAGCACAGCTGCCACAACCTCCAGTCTTTTTGGGTGTGGGATCGACTTCGACAATCTCATCTTCAGTGGTATCCATTAAATCTAAAGTGACAACTCCTGGTTCTTGTCCCATTTCCTGTGCTAAACCACAAGTACAATTCTTGCATGCCTTTCTCTTTCCGTCTGTCATTTCACAATCAAATGGCTCTATAATAAGATTGAGTATATTATCGCAACGTTGTGTGTTTATAAAACCTTACTTGTTAAAGACTCAATGCTTGGCTTAACCAAGTCACTTTCATCCAGCAATGCATCTTCATCCTCAAGATCATCTGCTGCCACTGAAGCCCATACGGCCTTTTTATTGTTGTTCTTTTTGAAATTTAATGCCACCTTTTGTCCTACTTCATACGCAGGCTTCTTTGCCTCAATATGTGCCAGTCCAAATTTACCACTCAATCGACTCACGCCTTGTTCAATCTTTGTTGTTCCCCATAAACGGAAATAAGAAGCCAATGTTTCGTCAGAGACAGGTTCTAACTTGGTAACAGTAACATCGACAAAACCTGCTAATTTAAGCATAGATTCCAGATCTGAGGCCTTGCGTGTAATCGGACACACTGTATTGGCTAGATCAGTCAAGAGAACAACTTCCTGCATCACTAAACGCCCGCCGGCTGCCAAGGTAGATAAGTAGCGAGAAAGAATTGCAGGTGAATGGATCGAGACAGAAGGTGTGAATGTGTTGGAGTAAATGACGTTGAAGGAAGCATTGTTCAAGGGAGCTATATGTTGTATTAATAAAATATAGAAAGAGTTTTATTCATCTCAAATTACCTTCTGCTACTCTTTCGATTGCTTCAAAGGCAGCCTTTCCAGAAGCGCCTACTTGATCTTGAGCAGCTTTTTGTGTTGAGACAAATGAGGATTGATCTACTGTAGAAGGTGCAACGAATAAGACATTTTCACCAGTATTGAATGTCATTATGTTTAATGTAAGTTACTAAAAAAAAAAACAATAATAATAATAAAAAAAAAGAAAGAATAACAATAATAGACAGAATTTGATTTCTAAGCAAAAAAAGTGATGCCGACATATGATTTGTGCGTGTCATTTTGATTCAAATCTGATTGGATAAAAAGGGATTAAGAAAGATGCTTTTTATGTATGCATTTTGGTACCTACTACAATTGCCGTTGCCTTCACTCCGACTTCGGATGTGGTTATAGACTTTCTAGCCACACTTTATTCTTAGTAATATTATAAAATGCAGTTTTTTCTACAAGTAATGTCGCATAATTCAAAAATTTATAATACAAAATATACAAAATACGGCACCTTGGGACGACATTACTTTCTGGAAATAGTGTCAATAAATAAAATTCTTATTGTTCTTTTCACATCTTTCTAAGCCGCGCATCGGGGTACGAATGTCTAGAAGCACATATCATTGAGCCTATACAACAAATTTAATTGTGTTGTCCCAAGTTGAAGCTTGTTTATTATCGCCCCAACATCAGATTGCCGGGCAACTTCGATAGTCATATTTTTGTATCTTCTAGATTCGGCTTCAGACATGTATGGAAAGGTGCTCCCATTTGATCCTAAATGTCCACCGATATTGGCGTCACAAGAATATACTTCACAAGAGGTTATGAGCAGCGCAAAGTGTCTTCCTTGAAGAATTGATCCAACAAACAAATCTGGAATAAATGCAAGGATGCTTTTTTTTGGAATTCAAAGCTTCCTCCAAATCTTTCTTCAGCTCTACATATGGTCCAATTATGCTATGTACTTTGGAATAACGACCATTTTGAACTAGAAAACACTACATGCACCAGAAAATACATCAGAAGTTAGACTAATTCTATGGACACTACCTCTACACATCACCTATGATGCTTTCCAACAAAACTTTTCACCAACTTTATGTTGTCAGTTTGATAAACAAATAGCCAAGATCAACCACGTGTAACTATGAAACTTCATAAAAAATACTCCATTGCCCTACATGTAATGCCCAGAAGAAGCGACCGTAGTATTGACCTATTTTCTTGTGCATTTTCTGGTGCATGCAGTGTTGACCTTTTTCATTGACTAGAAAAATGTTGCAAGAAGAAATCTATTTCCCAGACTCTCACTTTGACTTTCGATTGAATGAAAAGGGCAACCCCTATTTTGGACGTTTATTTGTTACAAGAACCAAACCATTTAGATGGGACAAGCAGCCGACAGTTCTATGCCATGGACTCTTGAGATAAATAATTATGACAGTATTAATGTGGCTCGTATCTATTGACTAATATGGGATTACTGACGTGTCAAAATGACCAATGCCTACGAGAAAAAAGGTCTCTACAAACGGGGCCCGTTGAAAGCTATGGAACCGTGGTCTGGCTGCAGCCCTTAATTTTCGCAAGATCTTGTTTGGTCTCAGAGAGAAAGAGGAACGCCTCAAGCTGCTCTGCCACTAAATAAAGCGGATACAACTAAAAAAAAAGGAAGGATCACCCTAGCAGTTCGAGTAACAACACCAAACACCCTAAAATATCCGCCTAAGTTATCCCTCTGGCCATTTAATACAGGTAATTTGCTTTTATAAATCCAAAACACCTAATAGTAATGAAAGAAACTGGCAGTTTCCTTTACGACATTTATTTTTTTTCAAAACGGACAACATTTACCAGCTACATTGTATGCATTTTAAAAGTAACAAAGAAGTTTAATCAACAATACGAAGCTCTTGTTTACGATCTGCAGCATATTCATCCTTGTATTTATCATATATGCGCTGAAGTTCATCAATATATAACTTTTGAACGGCCAATAATTGTTCTTGTGTTGGCTCAGTTTGTCCTTCTTCCAATGGAGGAACAGGAATAGGTTTACCCACTAAATATTAGGTAAGCAAAATGAAGGAGGTCATATATAGAGACACTTACCAACTGTAGCAACTTGGTGTCTAAAAGGTACAATACCAACATCATCTATATACATATATGCACACATACATTAGCATATTGCCCTTATTGCACAAGTATCACTTACAGTTAAAGACACCTCTTGCATGAATCAGAGGCATGGTCCAACCGACAATAGCCTGAAACTTCTTTTGGAAAGCAAATAGTTTACTACCCTTTTCATTGTGTACCTGCTCATACAAGTCATTTTCACCAAATGAAAACACAGGAACCAAGGGAGCGCCATGTTTGATTGCAATGCGAATGAAACCAAGCCGCTTCTTTAGCACAAGGTCATTTACGCCTGGACGAGCATTCAATGACTCTGCTGCACCACCGACAACAATGATAATGGATCGACCAGGTTCAGAAGATAGAATGTTCTCGCAGGATCGGCGAGATACGGCAGCCATGCCGAGTGACATGATAAGGTCACGATAAAAGGGAATACGGAAGTTTTGGGTGAGTGTGAGGAGAGAAGGTTTAATACCTGGGAATAATTTGGAAAATCCGGTAGCTTCTGTAGCAAAATTTGAAAATGCACCCATTGAGATAATGCCGTGTGGGTGATATCCAAGTACGTAATTTTTTGAAGGATCCAAGTCTGCTTCCTAAAAGAAAGAATGATAAGAATAAGTGTTTATGCAAAATAATCAACCTTTTACCTTGATTAGTTTGACAGGGAAGTAATCTGCAAAATACTTCCAAAGCCTCCAATAACGCGCACTTTCAAATCGTCTTCCGCCATGTTCAGGAGCTTTATCAAAATATATAAATGTAACGTAGGCAATGATGACCGGCCAAAGGACAACATGGGTCAATAAATAGATAAAGAGAAGCCAAGAGCCAAAGAAAAGCATAATCCAAGCACAAACAGCTGCTGTTTGAAGTCGCCTTTCAAGCGGGATGCCTCTTAAAGGCGCCCATCGGATATGATGATGTTTTGTTGAATCTGTATCGCTCATGATAAGTTAAAAAAAATAAAAATAAAAATATGAAAAAAAAAGGAAAGGAAGGCTGAAACGAGTCTCAGTTTTATATAACATTTGTACTACGCGCTAATAGTCAAAATCACATGCTACACGTGTCGACTAGTAATAGTAATAATAATACGTTCTATTCATATGTCCTTCTCTTCTTTTTATTATTATAAAGACATACACACATATACTATATAAATATGTACTTTATTTATAACACCATGGTTACGATTATGTGCCTATTACTAAGGTGATACAAATTTCGAAATTGCTCTTTCTTGCTATCATCTATTCACTCGATTAAGCATTGACCATAAGGTAACTATGCAAGTTAATTTTGTTACACAGCATATGCCAAATGTGGCCACTTTGGCGAGAAGTATAAAAAATCGTCGTATGTTGAGAATAAAAGGATTTGCATTTCAGAAATAAAATAGAAATAACTCTTAAACATATTTTCAGCTGCTACTTTTTTTCTGCTTTTATTCGTTTTGATCTTGTTTCTATAGACACTGAGCGATGTAACTGTAGCAATCAATCTAGATCTAAAGGACAAGCATGTTCCATTGGCCAGATGTTTATTTTGATAGTCGTACATAAAGACATTAATCAACAAGTTACACTTTAGCTGGTTATCAATCTTTCTCTCTATTGCTTCCAACTTGACAGCATATAATAATACATAAAGTGATCTTCATCTTTTTGGGAGAAGAGAAGAGACTCCTGTAATGTGATCAACACTTTATAAATTTGCTCACTTTTCCTGCTCCTCTTTTAGTGTAAGTATTTATACACCAATGTACTAATCGTTTTTATATCTCATTTTTTTATCATCATTCGACATCTCATTGTCTGAAATTTTATGATCTAGCAGTGCGTGTATGATTTCTGAAAAAAATGCGTAAAAATTGCTAAAGTATGATCCATTGCCTCTTCTTTTACTTGCATATATGAAACAAAATGAGAGAAAAAACACAACAAGTCAATTTGACAATAAAAAAGCAAGCGTCAAAAGAGGCTCATAAAGGTAATGATTCCGATTTATTGACTATCATAAGTAAATGTCTTCGAGCAGCAGGGCGTGCCAGAGAAAACTTTGGTTTTTATGAAAATATGGGACTACATCTACTGTTAATAATTGAAAAGAGGAAAAATATTGAATCTTGCGCATGACTGCAGACTTGATTGCTCAAATAGATTAAAGGAGACATTGAAAAATAGCTGGGAAATCGAGTACTCACACAAGAGATAAATTGAAAGCTGAATGAACAAAGGATGTATTTGACAAGATTCTTTAGCAAGATTGTCGCATTTACAATGACATTCAACAGCACGAGAAGTCAATATATGAATCATTTCTCGTTACAGTATATTTGTGTCAAAAACTAAAAAGCAAGAAAAGACCCCAGCATATCAGTAGAATGGCAATCAAATTCCAGAAAGTCAGCAGCAATGGATGACAACAGCCCGTCTACAGAAGACCATTACAAACAAGTGTGTGTCTCTTAAGAGAGAAGGTCGTAGCATTCAAAAATCTCAAGAGACTTTTATAGATTGCAGCGTAAATATGGATGAAGAACTAGCTTTTTCTGAAACAGACAATGGGCTTTGTCACAATGGCCAGCACTGACGGGCTCATTTAGAACTACATAACAGATACCAGGCATTAAGTGAAGGCAAAGGTAGTACCGTCAAACCTCTCATACCTATTATTTCATCAAACATTCCCATGCTTTGAAACCAGCTTCAGTCAATTCAACACTGAATTTACCAACATAAGCTTTTCATTTTTAAATATAAAAGAATGATTGGGAAGTGACATGCCACTATTGGAGATAAAAAGACAAACACTAACAGTGGAGTGATATCGGCGTCTCCTTGTCAAAGATGACACAACTAAAGATTTTAATGCAGAATAACATTATTATTAATAAACATAGTCTTTCTTTCCGATCTCGAGTTTGGGGTCTTTTTTATCACGTTATTCATATTTCCTAGACAAGATTTGAAAGACTCAACTTTAAGCACTTCATATTGTGCCAACTCTACGACAGCCTTTCAGGACTGCTAAATTCTTTTGTTCCCCTTTTGTCTTTATCAAGCCACTGTCATTTTGCAGTCACACCAGAGCTACTTGACTATTTTTATTTTTCACATTTTTTTGCAGCTCCCTTTTAAAAATAAACATGGCAGTAGAAGAAAAGAAGCGTAAACACAAGGACAAGTCAGAAAAGAAGAGCAAAAAGAAACACAAGGCGGATAAAGAGACAAGAATAGAAACCCCTAGTGCTACAATTTCAGCCGTGTCAACTAATGCCCCTGCTTCATCATTCTCGGAGGTACATGCAAGACTATATATTCATTTAGCTCCCATGTGGGCAGGCAAGACTATGGAAGGAGTCAATGAACAACTTAACGCTTTTTTGATGAAGTAAATATCATGTTTATATATTGAACAAAATTAACACTTTACTAGATATGTTCCAGAAGTAGATGGTATTGTCCTTGCACACTCAGACGTCAAATTTGTATCTGATAAAGGAAAGATTATGTATGATTCACCCTTCTCTCATTTTTTCATCTCTGTCAAATTTCTTATTTGGAAGCCTAAAAAGGGATCAAAACTTGGTAAGTGTGTGTATGTTTATTATATCACTTTGACTAACGCATAATAAAAGTTGGACGCATCAACTTACAATCAGAGGATCACATTGGTTTATTAATTTATGGCACATTCAATGCATCAATTCCAAAATCACGTATACCTTCTTCTATGTATGAATGGAAAGTTAGTGAGGAGGATGACGCACCTGTACAAGAGGAAAGCTCAATAGATGAAGATGAAGATGGTAAAGAAAGTACACCAGAAGAACGAAAAAGAACTCAGTACGGTGAATGGGTAAATAAGCAGACAGGAGCGAGTGTTGGTGGAGATGATGGAACCGTTGAGTTTACAGTCATAGAGTAAGTTATATACACGTTTCAAACTATTTGTATATTTATTTGTTTCTTTTTTTAGTATTATTGAAGCAAATGATATCTTGACCGTTACTGGATCGCTTTAGACTGTACATTTCTTTTTTTCATACATTAATCTATACACATACAACATAAAAATACAAAAGATCAATGCAACAATATTGTAGTTTGAGGATAAGCAACTAATGCTTTTATACATAAAGATCCCCTTATAGGAGCTTATTTACATTAAAAAAACATTTTTAATTCATACAATGCAACTACTTATTGCGTCTACTGCTATAAGACGACTTTCTTTAAATAATACATTCATTACTGTGTTGCATACAATATATATGTATATATATACTGATAAACACTTCTTAGATATGGAGTAAAGAGAACTTACGATTGTTCCTTTGTTTGCACATGAAACATTCCGGTTGTTATGAGTAACACCAAGTATAATAAACAAAAGGACACCCTTTTTAATTTCTACATTCAGTGCTTTTCTTTCTGTTATTTGAGCAAATTTGCGCCATGGTAGCTGAATCAAACGCGAAACAAAACTTTACTAGAGCATCCGAAGATGCCGTAAACCAACAAATTCAAATCTATCGTATGGCTCAACAAACATACCTGGCGGCATCTGCATACTTTGACCATTGTGATATTGCTTTGCCTGTAAGATAAAATAAAAAGAAGTGAACACATATTAACCAACATGTAGGGTCTTGTCAAATACTTTCACGAAAGAGCTGAGTATGAGGGAAGGTTAGCACAGCATTTAATTGACTATCAAGCAACACGTGGAGGTGTGGTCATTATCAATGCTATTCCTCAACCTTTAGTAAGCATATCATGTGATAACAATAAAAGATGGCATAAACAGTTGATCTCTTTATTTTTATAGACTGACTGGAATTCGGCCTTTAGTGCAATAGAAACAACGTTAGCTTTGGAGAAGGATGTCAATAGCTCCTTGTTAAAATTGGCACAGGTCGCAGCCAACAATCAAGATAAACACCTGCTTCATACACTCAAGTAATGTTTATGCCATTTATAATGCTACGATCACTAAACAATAGTTTACACAGAAATGGTCACCTTAATATTAAGGTCAAAACTATCTATAATGTCGTCAGAGGAGTTATACAGTTACAAAGAGTTGGTGGAGAGGGACTCGGCCTATATCTTTTAGATCAAGACCTGTATGAACACAAACAATTTCAATAGAGAACGTGTACTTTATTCTAGGTTATTATAATCTTGCTATCTCACAAGTGAATACATGTTTGTAAGAAGGGGTTAGAAAGATAGTTCTACGTACGTGTAATATTAACAGAGTGAAATAAAAGGAAGAACATTAGAGCTTATTGAAAAAAAAAAAAGGGTCATATAAAGCAGGGCTCGCTTGACTCTTGTTTTTTAATGTTTAATCTTAAAGTACTATATTAGTTGGTTTGACCATAGTTCTTTCAGAGTAACAGGATATATTACTGATCAAGGGTAGCCTTTATTTTAAGTTAAGTATTTCAATATTGTTTAATTTGCAAAAATTGAGATCAATGGAGCTTTAGTAATAGCTGCGGTGTCGACCAAGTGTGATATTACTATGACAATGAATACAATCGAATTCAACACAAGTATCATCACCATACCAAGATAAAGGTTTTAATTCCGCTTCCTAAAGTTAAGAAAGGTATGAATATTTGAGCGTCGTAATTGTTTTGTTTAAATCGTACTTACAGGCAGAAAGCAAGTGGCCATCTTCTGTTACTGGAAGAGTGTCCATATCCATGTGGGTCTATGCATGCTTAGTTCAGCTATATTGCTTAATGCTAGATTCCATTTTAACGTTGTGGGCCCATTGGTTTTACTATGTACATATGCAAAGGAGGAAGATGGCTTGCTAATGCGATTGCCAAGACCATGTGCCAACAAGAATTTCTTTACTTTGAAGAATTACTGAATATGCTGATTTGAAATGAACGAGACGCAAACAATAATTTCCAAGTGTATAAAATAAAAAGTAACGTAATATATATATATATCATGTTGTAGAATAAGTTATTAGTGCGATAGCATTCTGTCTACAGACTCTTTTGCAGAAAGTGTCTTTACAATAGAAAAAACAAGAAAAATTATAACGGCGTAGTGGGCAACTAAACTGATATGCACAGAAGCTACATTTCTGCAAAAGCTTCAAACAGCAGTTTCTCCATCAGTTCTTAACCAGTGCTCATGCTTTAAAAAATCACAAACATCGTCAAACCAATATCTATCTCTTTATAACGACTAAAACCGCACTTTAACGGCGGAGTGCATAAAAGTCACGTGACTTAAATCACGTGATTTTATTTAATCAAATGATCTTCAAGCTCCGACAAAAACCGGAAAATCAGTTTGTCCGAGTGGTTAAGGAGTTAGACTTGAAATCTAATGGGCTCCGCCCGCACAGGTTCGAACCCTGTAGCTGATGACATGTTTTGCCTCAATTTCCAATTGTGGCTGCCTTTTTTGCTGTCCCTTTGCCGTTTTTTGTTGTGAAGTTGCTGAACTGTTTTTGCTTGCTTATCATAAAGGAATGACTGTTTATTAATCTTGTTGTATTTTGCCAGTAGCGTTTTAGTTGGTTTTTGTTAGGTTAAATAGAGACTTTTGCTCCGTATTTCACGAATGTCAAAGATCGATGAAATATCAACAAATTTGTTCTACAAACTACAAACAAGCCCATTTGTAGAATGACTGGCCTTTTTCCTCAATAGAGTTAATTTTGACGTTTGCTGTATAATAATTTCACATTAGTGTTTTAAAGAAATTTCAAATGAGAGCTTAACGAAAGAAAAGAAAAATTTTCTTTAAAAGAAAAAAAGCTCAAACACCCACGCCGTGACTTGTTTTCATTACTCTTCTTTGCAGGGAAATCCACATGCAAAAAACTGCAATTTTATCTGTCAACCTTAAATGGAGCTACTCTCATATTTATAAAAGCTCAAATGTAGAGCATTGCTATGCTTAAAGTAAGAAAATAAAAGTACAAGCTAATTGAAGAGTTGCATGTTTACATGGGAAAAAAAAGTTATTGAAAACAAGATCAGCTGATAACCATTGCAATGAAGAAATGCTTTGTCTGGTACAACGACAAACCTGTATGAATTCTAGAAAAGCTAGCTTATGTAGCTCTTAAGACGTCCTATAATTACATATAAGCGTGCTACCAAACGTTTTCTAATGAATAGAATTGCAATAAATAGCCTGGGTACAGCTTAGAGTATCTGATGCTTCAACTGCAACAGGAGCCTCAAAGAGAACAATTAAATGCATTGTTGAGCACCAATTAAAACTAAAAGTTTCAAGAGACATATGATCGAGCTGAATAATGGCGCGAAACTGATAAACAATGACGCCTTTTAACTTTATTTTTGCCTATTAATTAGTCTGTTGAGATGATCAAGATTCTTTTTCCTTTCTTTCTAGCAAGTATGACAATAACAAAGATCCCAGTCTTGGATTTATCAAAATACAACCAAGAAAACCCAAATGATGAGAACTCAAAAGAGTTCTTGAGAGAATTATTCCAAGCAATGACAGAAATTGGCTTCTTTTACGTGAAGAATCACAATGTTCCCATAGAGCTACAACAAAAGTCATTTGAAGTTATCAAATCCTTTTTTAAATTGCCTCTTGAGGAAAAGCTAGAAATTGAATTGAAGAACTCTCCTCATTTCAGAGGTTACTCTCGCCTATGTAAATATAAGCTACCCGTTTTTAAACCATACTTCTTATGCTCTCGATTATAGATGCCGAAACAACAGATTATAAGCAGGATAATAGGGAGCAAGTGGATGTAGCAAAAGAATGGCCGCCTCAGCCGATTGAAGGAAATCCAGCTTATGTGCAACTCAGAGGACCAAATCAATGGCCAAAGCAGATTCCTGAATTTAAACAAGTGATTACTCAGCTTATGGACAACATGACGCGTGTGGGTTTAAAGATTTTGAAAGCAATGTCTCAAGTACTGCAAATTGATCAGGACAAATTTATGGGTTTGTTTGGTAGCGAAGACACGGCAGGAGTGCGTATGAAGTTACTGCGCTATCCAGCTTTAAATGATCCTGTTGATCGACCACTGGATCATGGGTTAGGCGTAGGGCCACATAAAGATGCAGGTTTCTTGGCGTTATTACTTCAAGATGAAATTGGTGGACTTCAAGTACAAACTCAGGATGGCGAATGGATTGATGCAGACCCTATACCAAACACATTTGTAGTCAATATTGGAGAAATATTTGAGCGCTTGACAAAAAAGACGTTTGTAGCAACCACGCATCGAGTCTTGAACAAGGAGTCGGCTGCATACACTGATAGATACTCTATTCCTCTGTTTTTAGCTCCTGCATTAGAAACGAGAATCCCCCAAATCGATATTCCTGTTGCAAACAAAAAAGTTGTCTACTCTGATGTAAAAGAGGAGCAGTTACTGCAAAACGAAGTGTATGGCTTAAATGAACTACTTTCTTATATACGAAGCCATAAAAAAGCCGCTGAAAGATGGTATTACTTAGACGAAACAACAAATGAATGGCATCGACGAAATGTACCTCTTCCTGTTTAATAGAAATAAATTAAATTTTTGACATAGAATGGATTATATGTTGATTTGTTGCAGAACAAATGGAGTACATCATCTCTAAATGAGGAACGGATAGACCTTTTTCCTTTGCTCTTTTTAAAGGTGTGCCAAGAATAACTGCAATTTCCATTGGGCTGCCTCGTTCTTTATCCAGTTGCCTAATAATGCGTATGAGTATTTGATGCATTTAACTTTTTTTTATCTTACATGGAAGGTTTATAATTTTTGGCAGTCGCTTTGGTTGCAGAAATCATTTCTTTCATTTGTTGCTCTTTATCAAAACTGTAACCTTCAGCATTAGCTGCTGAAATGACCTCGTCCATAAGCGACTTTACTGCACTCATGGCTTCTTTACTCTCAAGCACTTCACTTGTATTCATACCGGTGATGGTACAAACAGGAGAAAAAGAGGCATTCCTATCATATGAACGTGTTATGTATATATTTCTAATGATTGATTCAACGACGTTTTACCAAAACAGTTTTTGCCAGCGGTACTGTTCTATGTCATCAACAACACGAACATCGACTCCTCCTTTCTTTAATAACTCGATAAAGTTGGCTCGTTGTGTATCCGAGTTTGATTTTGCCTTTGAATAGTTTCCGACAATCAAATTTTCGCTTCCAAGCATCTTGATCTTTCCTGGTTCATGCTGGGAAGTGCCAATATAAGCGACGACAGAGATAAGAGGATTATCTGGGAACCTTTCAACTATGGGCTCTTCTACACCAAGTCCATTCTGAATCAATACAATAGCTGTATTTTTATCTTTAATGGCAGGAGCAATGATATCTGCCACATTATAAACCTCTGGTAGCGCCTTCAAGGTGACAAGGACATAATCAAAGGGTTTTGATGTTACACACTCGGAAACGTTTCGAACAACTGACAATGAACATATTAGTGGATGCTTGATCATAAACACAATAAACATACCATCATGAGGACGAAATACATCTTTTCCAAACTTGAAAGATTCTATGTCAAAACCGTTGTCTTTAACCGCTTGATAGTTTGAACGACACACGGCCGTGATCTCTGAAGATTGACCAAGTCGCCATGAGTAGATTGCACCGACTGCACCTGTGCCAACTATTATAATATTTGATATAAATACATTGAATCAAGCGTCTGTCTGTTATAAACCTGTCAATATACGAGGAGCTGCAGACATACTATAGAATCGCTTGACTGTTTGAGAAAAATGAAAGCTTGCGAAAATGCGGGAAGCGGGATTTGTATTTATGCCTTTATACCTTGGGCTGTGTAGCGAATGAGTAATCCTATTCTCAAGGGCATAAGCAAAACCCGATATATCGGATTTATTGAACTGCTTGAATCCACGGCAAGCAAACATTAATTTACAGGAAAGAAAAAGAAAAGAAGAGGAAGGAGGAGTTTATGTTCAGTTTTCAGTTGTGATTCTCAAGGTCTGAGTCATCTTTGTTGCAACCTTATCTTTCTACTGATTCGATACTCTTTTTATTAGACTAGGTACGGGTAAATGGCCCGATAAGAACAATGCAGGCTTCCATTGGTAAGAAAGGGCTAGAATATCTGTATTATATTTATCTTATTGTCTATGCTATAGAATTATCGTGAGAAATTTCCATCGCCAAAAAGAAAACCTCTTCTTCAGGGCAGATGCTTGTCATGGTATACTTGGTTTATTTACATCAATTCAGGTTGATTTTCTCGAGATCGTTCCGTTCTAGGCCATCAGGCTCTATCTTGTTCGCACTTTTCTACAGAAAAAAGTGGACCTTTTTATATATACATATAAAAGGAACGCTTATCAAGCAGTGGTTGCAAACCAAGAAGTTGCACAGCCTACACCAAAGATATAGACATTGATTGACTCAGCTATGACAGTAGGCTCATCCATAAAGTCCATATCTGTTGTGCAGTTCCCATGTTCATTCCATCCCCAACCCACCAGCTTATCTTTTTGTATGGCTAATGTGTGCTCAGATCCACAAAAGAACTGTTTGATATCCTGCAATAAATTCGTTTTAGCGATTTGGCCATGGTCTCTTCTACCATGTCCAGTCAACTCCCCGGCACTACTTTGGGATAGTGTATGATGCCATCCTGCATCAATATAAATAGAATCACGATAAATGATGTGAGGTTGTGTGATTATGCCTTTATCATGCTCACTGCCCAGCTGGCCGTACTTGTTAGATCCAATGCCATAGACTGTGCCATCACATCCTCTAAAGATTGTAAATATGTGACCGCAAGCAACTTGAGTCACTGGTTGAGGCAGGTCTATCTTCTGAATGGGGCGGATATCTTTCTTGTTTCCTACAGTCTTTGATTCACCAAGTTGTCCGTAGCGACCCCAGCCCCAGCCAAAGGCCTCTCCTTTTTCGTTAACGGCTACGACGTGACGCCAGCCACAAGCAACAGAAGTGATTTTTTCGTGTATTGGTATCTCTGTCAGTGACTCCTCATCCTCTACATCACTACAAAACTCATTCCATCGACCTGTGCCCACGCCATATAGTTTTCCTTCTTGACTTGTCAATATGGTAAATGCCCAACCACAGGCTACGTCCTTCCACTTGATTTTGTTGAATCTCTCTTGATATATAGTCCACGGCCGCTGTTCCTCTGACGACAGCTTCAGGATCTGTGACATTCGTCTTTCACCTAGCTGTGAAAATCCTGCAAAGAAGACGCGTCCAGTCTTGGTGATGACAGCAGAGTGATTACCACCACCTGATATTTTTATAATGACTTCAGACTCTGGTATGCCTATACAAGGCGTTGGAATGTGTGTATCTTCTAAGTGACCAATGCCTAATTGCCCATTGCCATTGGAGCCAAAGCCAAATAATTTTGACATTTTTTTTTAAAAAAAAGCATGAAACTTGTTAAATAAGAGACTTTATTTGAACACAGCACAGCTGATGTCAACAAACTATACAATAGAGTTTATCTCATCCAAAAGATCATGATAATCGAAGGTTTGGGGGCTGTCATTAAACTGTTCAACAAGCTTTAATTTTCGCTGGTCATCTGTGGCATAAAATCTTTGCAGTGCAAACGCCAAGAACTGCGCGTTCGATGTTGATAGCATTTTTTTGGGGTTGTCGTTTATTTCACCCTTCATCAAAACGATGCCCTTTTCTTCTAAAAGCTCAGGAAAGTGAGTGATGGTTAAGAAAGGTCGCGCTTTTTCTCCTTTGGTCTTGTATTCTAAAAGTGAGGTAAAATAGCACTGATGTGATTGAAATTGAAGGAAGAAGAACTCTAGTCCAACTTCACGAGGCATAGGTAAGATGAACTACAAGGACTAATTAGTGTTTCTCTCTTTTTTTTCCAGTTAACTTGACGCTGTTACCATCGGATACTTTCTTGATATTTCGTACATTCTGTTATAGATCGATCCTGGTATAACTGCAGAAATACAATCTTTGTTGGCGTGGTACCGTGTCCATATCTCACTAATTGACTTTGGATCTTCTTTTAAGAGTAGATCAAGTTTTACTACTTTATCCAAAGCCTAAATGAGGTAATTATTTATCAAGGCATAACACCAGGTTAATGATCTCTTACAGGTGCACTCGATTCATAGTTAGAACTGGATTCTTGCTGGTTTACATTCTTTTTTTTCTGTTCAAGCACAGTTTGAACTGCTGCATAATTAGCTTGTGGCTTATGCTTCTTCTTTTGTGCCAAAGCATTCTCTTTTAACTCTCGAACAGTCAAGCCCTTTCTTTAATGGCTATTTAGAAACTCAAAATCGATAACTGTCTTTTTTCCTTTACTGTTGAGCTACTTTTTTTAGCTTTGAATAATATTTGGACTCATAATCTACATTGACTCTGTTTGCTTCAAGAGCGATTTGCTTGATGCGTTCTAATGTATTGATTATTAAGATTTTCTTTCATTTGTGTGTGTGCATGTATATGCTTCTGTATGTGTGTATGTATACCCCATTTTTGACCACCAAAAAAAACTGAAGCTGGGCTATTTAATACTTCTGCATGACGCGATTGTAAAAAGAATGTAGTTGGAAGCTTATTGTTGCTCAATCGACTAATTGCCCTTGTAGTTGATTTCAACATTTTTAGAAAAAAAATACACAAATAGGGTGTAGTGACTTCCTTCATACCAGAAGAATATCGGGGGCACTAGGTCCGAAAATAAAGGAACAATAGAGCAGAATGAGGGCGCCTTACCTTTAAAAATATTACCCACATGTTTTCCCTTTAACCTGGGTCCTAGTCATCATTTAATATCATTTAATTGATCTAAAGAAAAACATTAGATACATATTTAAAAGTCATGGCGATCCATTGATTATATACAAAAAGATATTGCATCAACTGCAGAATATTGTGCAACAAAAGAGGCAATTGCTCTATCAAGTTCGGATCGACCTGTATGTGTTAAATTCGTCTCTATCTGAGTTCAATGTACTCCTTGTCATCAATAAAAGGAAATGTGTCTGACTTTGCTATTATTATCACCCATTTCTTTAACAATTGGAAAAAGAAGCTACTTTGTGATATACCTTGATAGATACACAAGTCTACTTTAGTGCCCTATTATTTGCTTCATTAAACGCCAATTAAGGAAAGGCTCTTTCTGTCTGTCATATACATGCACACACACGTACACGCTCTGACCCTGACTCACACACACTCTCTCTCTTTGTCTTTCTTTTTTCTCTTCTTCAATGCTATTGTATCCACAAGTATTTTTAGACATTCATAATGTAATTAATTGCTACAAGTAACTGAGTTATGAATTACTCGCTCTCAATAGGTTAGACAAATATGAGAATATAAATAGAAACATGTTTAATGTGTAAGGAAATCAATAAATTGCTGTTGCTATCGCACTGCGGTTTATTACAAACTGATGTCTTTAATGTTACAGCTTTTTTTTTCTGATGAGAAAACTACATTTATACAACTTCCCAACTAATGGAACCGACACCCTTATTCATGTCACCAACAACCTTTTTAAAGAGCGAGGGAGTCAAGTCAAGGTCACCACTTTCGCATTCTGGACAGGCATCCATGATGGTGGCAGTTGCTGTACCTGCAGGTCCCTTAATCTTGATTTTCTTTCCACACCATTTTGAATTTGAGCTGAGGCTGCCGTATTGAGGGCGGTTAAGTGCGACATAAGGAGAGTCATTGTCAATGTGTACACCATGACAGGCGCCTTCTGAGCCACCTTCAGTAGCAGGTTTATACCAAGTAGCAGTACCTTTAAAGTTATCGCCTCTCTTGATCAAACCGTTTTCTTGAACGGGGGCAGCAGAGATAGAAGTGAAAGTGAGGGCAATGATAGCAGAGAGAAGGAGGGACTTCATTTGATGAATATATATAAAAAAAAGAAATAAGAAAGAAAGAGAGGAAAAAACGGCCGGCGCTTTTAAAGTTAAAGAAGGAAAGGGAAGAGCGTAAAACCGGAAGAAAAAAGAGATAATAAAACCACTTTTTATATAAGATGTGTCCTGAAATATACTTTCCAAAGTTGGAATAGAAGCAATTAAAAAGGTCTGGAAGTACAATCAATGACCAATAAATGTCCCATTGTCAATCTCAGCAGGCTTTCATGTTATGGACAATAGTACTCCAGCTCCCGATCCAGGGTAAGATATATTGTCGCTGTCATACCTCTCTTTTTCTTCTCGAGCACAGAGAGAAAGAGAGAGGTGACAAAAGCAGCAAGTGTAGGCACAGGTGTACATATATAAAAATAGTAAAATCAAATAATTTCTGATATCTAAATCATTAAACAGACAAGAAGAAGGTGTACCAAGATTCAACAATTAGCACAGACCATGCCAGATGTCGTTGAGGTTACATTCCTTTTACATCTTTTCATCCGACGATATTTTGCTTCAAGATTTACAGTTAGGCTCTACGTTTCATATTAATTTAGACGGACTTTGTCCTTGGCCATACAACTGGTTCAACACCCGAAAAGTCTGGCCCATCTCATTGTCACACCCCCCGCGCACAGTGGCGTACAGAAGAAAAAAGAGGGGCATATTGAATTCATCATTCAATGAATGAGACATAATAAATGATTTCTCACTATTCTCTCTTCTTGACAATAAAGCAATTACCCTGGAATTCATTATGCAATTTGAATTGATTACCAAATATGGAAGTAAATTCTATTGTGTAAAGAGTCGTTTTTTAAATGCACGACCGTAGAAATGAGTTGTCTGCCTAGTGAAATCAAGTCAATCTTTATATGCAAGAAAACACTAAATAGAATGCATCGGTTAGTGTAACTTTTTCAATAAAAAAATCATGCTAACTCCATTTGGCTGTTTTATTCAAACATAAATATTAAGTATTCTTACAAGTTCACTTAATGCTGAGCAGGCTTCTTAGGATGAGCAGGCTTCTTGGGATGAGCAGGCTTCTTTGGGTGCGCGGGCTTTTTAGGATGAGCAGGCTTCTTTGGGTGAGCGGGCTTCTTGGGGTGAGCAGGCTTCTTCTTGTGGGCAGCTTCTCTTCTAGCAGCAAGCTTTTCTTTGGGGTGGGTAGGCTTTTTAGGATGTGTAGGCTTCTTAGGGTGAGCAGGTTTCTTAGGATGAGCGGGTTTCTTAGGGTGAGCAGGTTTCTTCTTGTGAGCAGGCTCTTCTTTAGTAGCACGCTTTTCTTTGGGATGAGCGGGCTTTTTGGGATGAGCAGGCTTTTTAGGGTGTGAAGGCTTCTTGGGGTGAGAAGGCTTCTTAGGATGTGCGTGCTTCTTGGGGTGAGCAGGTTTCTTGTGATGAGCAGGATGCTCCTTTATGGCTCTTTTGGCGACAGATGGCGAGTACTAAAGAATGGTAATAAATGTGGTGTTAATAGTGGCTATTAAAAATGAAGAGTGCCTTACATTGATGCACACAAGGTCACCTTTCTTGATTTGACCGCATTCAAAATTTTCATTGAATTCCTGGGTCCAAGAAGAGATGTCATCAAGAGAAACATTGTGTTTTGAAGCAATGGATTGACAGGTGTCACCAGATTCAGCTGAAGTAAGAAGAGTGCTTAGTATTCAATTGAACGACAATTAGAAAACAGCGAGTACCTGTATAGGATTCATGACAAGGGAAAGGGTAGTGATCGAAGGCTTGAACTAAACCAAAGGCAGAAAGAGCAGCGCCAGCAACAACAAAGAGCTTCATGGTTAATGACAGAAAAGGGGATAAAGATGAATAAAAAGAATAAAGTGGCGAGGGTTTTTATATGAAAAACGAGTTAATTCGGATCAATAGTCGATCTGCCAAGAGCAATCAATGGAGCTATGGTAATATAATCTGTACTCTCTTAAAAGCTATTTTTACCTTGATGTGTTACTGTTTAGAGTGGAGGAGGATCAGAGGCGATTATCCCTATTAACCGAGTCAGAACAACTAACTGGTTCAACTCGTGTTACTTGTACTATTCCTGTTAAAGAAAAATATTTCCAAAATTGTATCTTTATAGTGACAAGAAATGATCCACGCTCATTTACGCATACACAAATAGTGGCAGCAGGTCCTTTAATTTTAGACTAGTCTGATGGTTAATGTAAATCACTTGCAGGGCTGCGCTTTACATTTGGCTCCCTTTGTCTTTTTTTCTCTGTCTCTCTCTTTTTATATATATTATTCTCCTTTTTATTTGATTTTCTCAACAAAGATATGTTCAATATTTACGCTGGGTTTCTTTTTGCCTTTTATATAGAGTCTAAATCGGTAACTAGCCACACTGTTACTTTTGAGGAGCGCACGTGGAACGTGCAGGAAAATCTGATTGTATTGATATTAGAAGCAATTAGTAAGTAAGCCACATAGAGAAAAATACTAAATTAAGTGGCCCGTTTTGCCTTGTCTTCTCATGCGTTTCCCTCTCAGTTCGATTTGCGCAAATAAACAAACAACGACAGTTTGTTTCGTAATAGAACAAAGTTCGACTTTATGCTATTACGAATCTACTCGTCGCTTACAAGGAATAAAAAGATAACGTAGTATTAGTAAAAATGACACTATGGCAATAATGCCTGGGGGGCTGCCTTCGTGCACTCAACTTCACAAGACCAAATTGTTCATTATAAAACGTTGTACAAAGAAGTATGCTGTGCTTGAATCTAATGTGGTTTACTGCTCTGCTTGATGAACCTCTACTAAAAGAGTAGACGCAAATGAAGAGAATTCTAAATGATATAACCCCCCTGTAATCTTCAGTATGCGCTAGAGGATGTCCGTAATCAGTAATGCTCAATCTATTGCCCGATAAGATTGTTGTATGTTAAGAAATGCTTTTACACACTGTCGTACCCTGTGCCAGTCTTCTTGAATGAGTCTCCAATAATTAATGTTAATTGAGATCACAAATTTCATGTAACCTGTTTGAAATTTATCCTATAAATAGTGATAGTTATTACATTTTTATGCAAGCAAACTGAATCTTCAAGCAGTGCTTGTTTTTACTATCGACAAGAATGACTTTAATTTTCTCTCTCTCTTATGTATAGTCATATCACACCCCCCTTTTTTTTGTCATAAAAAAGTAGAGAGATGTTCTATATGAAAAGTCCGTTCATAAAACTACCACTTTATCAATACAAGATCAGTGCTGTTTTGAAATATAATGGCAGCTGCACTGTTATTTTTAGGTGTTCGCACGTGGAGTGTATGTCAAACTCAACCACTGTTAAACATACAACGACAGTAAACAATTCATTCCTTTTTTAATGGCCTTAATATATAAAAAACGACATGTCTAAACGACTTTAACAGTTTGCGAAATGACTAAAGAAAAAGTGTACTGTTTGTTATTGTATTCAGGTCCCTTCATTCATTAAGTATAAATTCTAGTCTTTCATCCTTTTAATCCTTTATCACGATATAAAGAATGGGGATCGCCAACTAACAATATGGTCAATGTTAGTAGTAATGTATAAATCGTATTCAACAGGTAGAAGGGATACTGTTGAATCTCTCAAAGAGCGCTTTTTTTTTAATTTACCTTACGTCACTTTTAAATCAGATAGTTGAAAATTGATCAATATTGTTGACCACTGAACGCTTTCCGGTAATACAGGTTGTAGCATGTAAGGGAAGAATGATAGGTGTCTAGGCTGGATTGGGCTTTAATTTGACGGCTTGGCCGGCAAGAAAGGCTCTCTTTTTTTCTGGCTACTTTAACATCACTCTTGAGTGCTTTTCAATCATATAGCTTCAATGATTAGCTCTTTAGTTTTTATGATGCATTATAGTACAATAATCATGTTTCATGTTATGGATCCCAGAAAGCTGAGTTTGAGCATTTAGCTTTACAGCAAGAGATATTCCACAGGACTTACGCCAGCTGTATGGGCTGCCGAAAATGACAAGTACTAAATAGTACAAGAGTATCAAACAGATACTACTATTAATTTCATAGTCTTGCTTGATCAATCAGCACTTTTTCACAATATGCAGAACAAGCACAAGAGGGCAGCTCATTCGTAAGAAAAAGAAAAACATGAATAAATTAAAGGCTGGCTGCATGAAAATGATCATTTCCAAGCATAAAATTAGCGTCATTATTAACAAGTATTGTGCACATTCAACTATCCTGTAATATACTTGTGAATAGTTTTGCATCATATTGTTTTCAAGTTGACTTAATTTAAATCCCTTGTAAGCTACGCTTTCTATATAAATACGGGAATCAACCGTTTTTTTTTGTTTCTTGTACATTTTATTAAACATGTCTTCTCGTCAAAACAATCCTGCAAACTTTGCTAACCGTCCCAAGGACGAAGTTCAAGCCATTGGTTCCAAAGGCGGAAGATCTCGTGGTGGCACTGGTGGTGGTGGTCGAACTGATGTCGCTGACATTGGTGACTATGATCAAAACGAAGATCTTGCCTATGAAGAACAGTCTGGTGATGTTAACTACGAAGAAGAAGGCACCGGTGGTGGTACCAGAAGTGGCAAATCAAAGCGTGGTTTTGCTAGTATGGACCCTCAAAAACAACATGAAATCGCTTCCAAGGGAGGCAAAGCCTCTGGTCAAAGCCGTAGTTCAGGCAAAGCTGAAGATGAGTTATCTTAAGCATTATTTCACTTTTTTTTTGTGCAAAAAAAAAAAAAAAATAGTTTTGTAAATTTCTTTCTATCAATAAAATCCTGTATATTTGCTTCGTACTTGTCTAGAATGGGTTTTAATCAAAAGCTAGCTTGTTCATATATGGATAATAACTCTAATAACCGTTATTATATTGTAATTTTGGCTTCCTTCGTTAGAGTGGGTTGAATAGACTTGTTATAAGTCAAAGGTTTGAATAAAGTTAGCGTTTAAGCAGAGGTTTGTATAGTATAGTGACCACCAGATCTTATTAAAAGATCAATTGTTAGGTTCGTAGAGGTGTGATGATAAAAGAATAAGAGCAGGAGCTTTTATAACAAAAGCTAAGACCTGTTTATTGTATGAATATAAAATGAAGAGAAAAGGTGATTGATTCAATTAATTGATGAATGAATTCTTTGGCAAGGGGAGGCAAGGACCAAGGCTATTTATATGTTTTTGAGAAGACATCAGGACTACTTTTTGTATCGATATTTTCAAAAATATGAAAATTTCGTTTATACGAAATTTTCGTATTGATCTTGTGGTACTCTATTACCAAACTCGATAGGACTGCCTTGAGCGCAATAATTGTATAATAAAAAAACGAGGCTTATTGCTAATGTTTATCAGCATGAATATATATCAAGCTGTAAAAAAGGTCAGAAAAATCCTGCTCCGGGCATCTTAGTTTGTAGAGAAAGATTACTGAAAGAAGGTCCAAATGGATAGTAAAAAAGAATGTAGAGGGTAAATGTCTGGGAAAGTGTGCCCCTTCTTTCTTCTTTTCAAGTATGCAGATTAGCCCTTATGAGTGATGGCTGATCGTATTACAGCTTTATTAAGATGAAGGTTTGCTATATTATAATTACCATTGGTAACACATTTACTTTAACAAACAATAACTCAAAAGAATGAATGAAACATGATATTCCCAATGTTTAATTGCTGACTATATTGGTTGCTATTCCCTATTTTCTTTTTATTGAACAAAGGCAAAGACTTTTAAAAAAGAAAACAAAGGTATTGTTGATGTGTTTCGATTAACGATACTATGACAGGTTAGATCCAGAGCCACATATAAAGTAATCTCTTCTTACCTTGTGGAAACCAATATCGCTGGCGTATTCACGGAAGCATTGACGACAGATGTTCAAGTTGTACTTGCGGATCAAACCAGCACGGTGAGCACAGACACGGCTAAGTAAAGAAAGAGAGAGAGGTTAGTTAATATTCTCAATAGATGACTCTCCCTTTCTTTCTTTGCTCTAGTAAACAGAACAGACTCTTTTCTTTCTCTTTTGTCGTTTCTATTTCTTCCTTTTCCTTCCTACATTTCACATCAACCTTTTCAATTGGATGCAATTATTGGATGCATGCAGTGGTTTAAAAGTGATATGCGAGTGGCTTATACGTCGTTCTGTTTACTGGCTAAAAAGCAAGGAAAAGGAGAGAAAATGGAATGTAAAAGCTTTACCATTGACGAGAGCCCTTGCCGAAGGTCTTAGGGTGGGAGTTCCAAACGTTGCTGTGAGCCATGATGTAGTTAACTTTTCGAAAAGCGGAAAAAGAGAAGGAAGCAGGGACTTGTATCTCTCAACCAAATAAAAAAAATTTTGAAGTGACGTTTGAGGCAAAATGGCCATTTTTATTGGCTAACTGCATTCAAAGCTGCTCTTTTTGTTGTTTACCACCGATAAACACAGTCTTTGATAAATACAAAGCGAGAGGAAGGAATGAGAGAAAGAGAGAAAACACATATTAGGCACCATAAGATGGCACAGTTGCATCTATCGCGGTTGGGTCAAAATATAGTTAACATATATACACCAAAAAGAACACACTTGGCCACTTAGCTTTTTTGTTGGTCCGAATGTACCTAAATTTGAATGTAGGGCAATTGGGGACAGAGCAAGCTTTTCTTTATAAACCTAAAGAAAGTCGCAGCATCCTTATGGAAATGTGTGCAAAACCATATAAGGATTCTTTGTTTTTTTTTTTTATCCATTTAATTGTTACTTCTTCTTTTAGTTTAACCACATGAGCTGATTTTGCCGCGATGCAGTTAATTATTTTTGTTATGAAGCTGCTGGTTGTATTCTCTGAAGAAGTTCTCTTGTATATTTATTTGGCTAGTGTCCAACAGTCCCTTTACGATTATAAGTAAAAAGAAAGGTGCCTGAATTGGGTAAATCTCTGTATATTATAGCCCAATACTTCAAGTCGACACTGCTCTCTCATCAACTCACGGTATTTGCTGTTGAGACCTCGCTCAGCACGCTCTATTTGCAAGTGTCTTGGCCTTTGTAAAGAGTAACACGAAAGTATTACTGCAATTTTTGATTGGATTACATTAAGGGATTAAAAAGCAGCACATATTTACTCTTCCCTTTCTTTCTGATAAACAACGCAGATACACATACACGCACATAGCAAACGCAATGAGTGTAGTCCGTTTTATGTGTAGACCATTACTACCATTGTTGTTACTATTAATCGCATTCAACCATGTTTGTTACGCGCTGACGATTCCTAAACAGTTTGAAAATACCAAAATCATTCGTACTTTTGAGGTCAACTCAGGCATAGCTCGTGAAGATACTGGCATTAGAGCAAAGAATATTGGTGATGGATCAGCATCAGAGTATTACTTCTATTTACCCAACGTTCTCTATAAAAATGTTGCCTCTGTCTCTGCCTTTTTAAGAAAGCAAAAGACTGAACTTCAAGTTAGTCTCGAAGGATTGGATGCTGAAAAGTAAATGAAATTACGTGCATTCGTGTAAATCATCTAATATTCATTCCTTCTTTTTTGTAGGGAAGTCTATATCTACAAGATTGATTTAAAGGAACATTCTGTGCAGCCTAATGAGGATGTCCTCTTGGGTATCAAGGTTGCTTATACTCATGTCATTAAACCTATGCCTGCCAAATTACCTCAGTTAGCCCGTCAGCATACCATGATTGCTTTCAACTCTTATTTCCTTTCTCCTTATTTTACCAAGGAAATCAAGACCACTCTCACGTAAGAAAACAAAAAATAAAGACACGAGCAACCAACTAAAGAAGGAGAGATATTGAATAGGACACCAACACAGAATGTTGTTAGCCACGTTGGTGATTTAGGAAAGTCAAGTCTTAACGGTAACAAGGTTACTTATGGTCCTTATGAAAATGTAGAGCCTCTTTCTTTTGGCGTAGCTACATGTCATTTTGAAAACCTTCAACCCATCCTGACTGTGCCTAGTTTACGACGTGATATCGAAGTATCTCACTGGGGTAAGAACTTGGCAGTAGAAGAGCATTATTCTTTACGTAATGATGGAGCAAGGTAATAAAGATGCAGAAAAAAGAGAATCAGTTGAAATTAGGCTAAACTTTTCAATTATCAGTCTCGAAACCAATTTCAATAGGGTTCAATACCAAATGACAGCTCACATTCATTCACAAACAAATGTACTTAAGGAGCTTTCCTTCAAGTTGCCTCCAAGTGCTCAAGATGCTTACTTTCGTGATGAAGTGGGAAATGTATCTACCTCTCATTTCCGTGTAGAAAATAAGAATGCTGTTTTAGAACTTGCTCCTCGTTATCCAATTTTTGGTGGATGGAATTACACTTGGTATCATGGTTACAACGCTGATCTTGGATCGTTTGTTCGCAAATCAAAGACGAGTGGAAAGTATATCCTGAATGTCAAATTTGTGGAGAATGTGAACGATATGGTCATTGACAAGGCTGTCGTTCGTGTCATCTTGCCAGAAGGAGCTTCGTAAGTGGATCATTTTTATGCGGACATACGTTACTTACTCTATGTTTATAGAAATATCAAGGTTCATTCACCTTTCTCAATTGATGCTCAATCTATTGCTTCTCATTTTACTTACTTTGATTCTACTGGACGTGTCATGGTAGTCTTGGAGAAGAATAAGGTTGTTCGTGAACATGAACAGTTCATTCAGGTATTGGAATGGATATTATGTGATACTCTTAAAGCTAACAGCTTAAGCAATAGATTGAATATGACTACTCTATTTCTGAGCTTTTACGCAAACCCATTGTCGCATCTACTGCTCTCCTGCTCCTCTTTGTTACTAGTATCTTGTTTGGCAAAGCATCCTTCAATATTGGCAAAGAACAAAAGGTAAATGGATTGTAATAGCACAATAGCCTGGTTGTATCTAACGTTGAACTTTATCCAATAGAAAAAGACGGAATAAAGCATTGCAATGTCGTTTCAATTTTCAATGTAGAGCAAAAAATATAAAATAAAATACAGTTTACAATTTGACTATAGTGTTTGCTGGTAACTTGACCAAATTTATCAGTCGCACTGTAAAAATAAATTGTGGGCTTTATATCACACATATGAGTCTCTAGTATACTCATAGGTTTTGTTCCTTTATTTTGCTGTATAAAAAGAACACTGGAGCCGCATTTTTAGATGCTTTTGCGTTTGTAGAATGCATTAAAAGTATCTTTCCTTAAATAATCTTGTGTATCTGCACTTGAATCAACACGATTCATGTCTCAACTTGATCTTGTTCTCTTATCATCCCTTATACTTAATAAAAGAAGAAGGAAGTATTGCAGCAGTAAAAGAGGAAGAAAAGAGACAATGTTGTATGTGTGACCGCTTATCACCAGTGCGCCAATTTTTTTATAATTTTTTTTTCTGTCCCCTCCTCTGTCAACTCTGTCTATCTCTCTCTCTTTTTTTGTTATAACAACAATAAAATAACAATGGCCGCAGTAGCTAATGTTGATGTCACTAAATTGACTCCTTTGTCCCCTGAAGTAATTTCTAAGCAAGCTACCATCAATATCGGTAAAATAAAGAACAATATTGAAATTGCATGTCATATTAACTGTTACTGCTAGGTACTATTGGACATGTAGCTCACGGTAAATCAACTGTGGTTAAAGCTATTTCTGGTGTTCAAGTAAGAAAGAAAGAGAGCAAAACAAATGGAATAATGTTGCAAAGATTGACTTTTTTTTTTGTTAGACTGTTCGTTTCAAGAATGAAATGGAGAGAAATATTACCATTAAGCTTGGTTACGCCAATGCTAAAATTTACAAGTGTAATAATTCCGAGTGTCCCAGACCTGGTTGTTACAAGTCTTATGGTTCCGGAAAGGAGGACAATCCTCCATGTGAACGTCCTGGCTGTGGTGGCACCATGCAACTTGTCCGTCATATTAGTTTTGTTGGTAAGTACCGATTGATATCAATACGACTAGTTGCTAACATAAACAATAGACTGTCCCGGTCACGATATTCTTGTAAATTGACAAGTTTGCTTATAAATAACCATGATTAACCATATTTATTATAGATGACTACTATGCTTTCAGGTGCAGCTGTCATGGATGCCGCATTATTATTAATTGCCGGTAACGAATCTTGTCCTCAACCACAGACTTCAGAACATCTTGCAGCTATCGAAATCATGAAGCTTCAACATGTCATCATCCTTCAAAATAAGGTCGATCTTGTAAAGAAAGAAGCTGCGCTCGAACAACACAAAGATATTCTTGCATTCGTAAAGGGTACTGTTGCTGATGGTGCCCCAATTGTTCCTATCTCAGCCCAACTTAAATACAATATTGATGCTGTGAATGAATACATTACCAAGAAGATTCCTGTTCCTGTTCGTGATTTTGCAGCTGTTCCTCGTTTGATTGTGATTCGTTCATTTGATATCAACAAGCCAGGTGCTGATGTAGATAATCTCCAAGGTGGTGTTGCTGGTGGCTCAATCTTGAAGGGTGTCTTGAAGATTGGTGATGATATCGAAGTTCGTCCTGGCGTGATCATCAAAGATCAAGAAGGACGTATTCGTGCTCGTCCTATCTTATCCAAGGTTTTGACCTTGCTCGCAGAACACAATAAATTGGAATTTGCTGTTCCCGGTGGTTTAATTGGTGTTGGTACTCAAATGGATCCTACCTTATGTCGTGGCGATCGTTTGGTTGGTCAAGTACTTGGTTATCCTGGAACATTACCTTCAATCTATACAGAACTCGAAATTTCTTACTTCTTGCTGCGTCGTTTATTGGGTGTAAAGACAGATGATAAGAAGCAAGCCAAGGTTGCTAAATTATCCAAAGGTGAATTGCTCTTGGTCAATATTGGTTCAGTTTCAACTGGTGGTAAGGTCGTTGGTGTCAAGGCTGATCTTGCAAAGATTGTGTTGACTGGCCCCACTTGTACCGAAATTGGTGACAAGGTAGCTATTTCTAGAAAGATTGAAAGACATTGGCGGTAAGTTTTTTACTTTTGACACATCATTCTTTTTTATTCACTTTTCTATTCATTAGTCTCATTGGTTGGGGTAAGATCAAGCGTGGTACTGTTTTAGAAGCTGAAGCCAATTAAGACATATTGTATACTCACATTTACGCATATAAAGTTTGTAAATTTTTTAATGAATAAGCTGCTTTTGACTTTTTACTTGGTTTCTTGTTTGTCATTTTTAAATCCAGCGACGGTTGAAGTTTCTTTTTTTTTTTTTTTTCTTTCTTTCTTTGCTATGAGTGATCGCAGTTATTCACCAACACGAGGACGCTCTTATTCTACGAGAAGTTCAAGCCCACATTCGTACTACTCACACTCACGTTCAGGTTCGCGAGGACGATCGTACAGCCGAGGAAGACACTCGCGATCTTACAGCAGTAGACGCCATTCTCGATCTTATAGTGGACGTTCTCCTTCACCTGATTACTATCGTGGAAAAGGATATTATCATTCGAGATCTCCTTCACCGAGATATCGTTCGAAATCACCAAGAGGAGGCCATGAGGGTCGACCAGACTGTACTGTATTTGTTGGTAACCTGTCATATGATACCAACTGGTATGACCTGAAGGACTTTATGAGAGACGCAGGACAAGTGGTTCATGTAGACATCATGAAGTTGAGTAACGGCAAATCAAAGGGTTGTGGGTAAGTCAGAGAAACATGCATATATAAAAAGTCAACATGAAGAAGCCCATATGCATTATGTGAATAGAATTGTCGAGTATCGGTATCCAGAAGATGCGAAAAGAGCCATCCAAATGTTAAACGAAGTTCGTTTTATGGGCAGATATGTTTACGTGCGATATCTTCGAGGACCAAAAGGCGTACTGTGTTTGTATATGCTGTTTCTTTTTTTTATAACTCTTTCTTTAACCTAGGAAAAGGATTTTGACTCGGTGAAGGATGTACCTGAAGATTGCAGAATTTTTGTGAGAAATGTAAATATGAAAAAGTAATGAGGAAGAAAATATCAGCACAAAAAGGACTCACATTGCAAGGAAATGCGTCTTTAGCTACCACCAAACTTTAGTTGGCAGGATTTAAAGGATCTGTTTAGAAAGGCTGGTCGAGTGTTGCATACGGATGTTTTCAACGATCCAGAAACAAGACGGCCTAATGGCACTGGAGTAGTCATTTTTGATAATCTCTCGGATACGCGTCATGCAATTAGTAACGGTTCAATTCAAGGACATACAAATCACGTTACTAATGTTTTGTAAAAAAAAAAAAGGCACGTTGAATGGATATAATTTACATGGAAATAGAATAGAGGTAATGCAGGAGAAGCTTAAAGATGTACAGGCAGATATAAATCAAGTGACTACTCCTCCTCGTACTGCTTTTACTGCTGGTGTTGTCACGCCAGCTAGTGCCACTGCAGCTATAAATGCACATACAACCAATATACCACCACCTCCTCCTCCTATGTCCTCGGTGTCAGACAGTCATTACTATCGCTCATCATCATCACCACCACCACCTCCGCCGCCACCTCCTCCTCCATCAACCATGGTTGAACAGCCAATGCCCCCTTCTCCATATCAAAATGTGCATCGATTTGGCGAGCCTGTCCCACCTCCACCACCTGTTTATCCTGGTGTGAGTCTAGTAGGCGGGCCTGCTGCTGATTTACCAACTCATGGACATAACCAAATATATGTGAACAATGTAAGAATGAACTTGTATACAGAATCTATTGTCTTATATCTCCCTTTTGTAGTTGCCATTTTCTACTACTTGGCAAGATTTAATTGATCTATTCCGACATGTAGGACCAGTTATGCGAGCAGAGATCTTAGTGATCAATGGATATCCTAAAGGAGCAGGCTATGTTCGTTTTGAAGATGCAGAAACCTGTCAAAGAGCCATTGGTAAAATAAGACACACAAATGTATTGAGTTAACATTGTTCTATAGACAGGTTCAATGGATATATTTATGGTGGCCGTGCTTTGGACATAAAGATGGATAAATATTCTACAACATTATAAAGGAATAGGCTCATGAACCTATACAACAATTATTAATATTTACTAGACAACATATAAAAAAAGTATACTCTACAGCTCGTGAAATATCCAACCAACTTTCAATGGCTTTAATACGGGCATCTTGCTTATCTGGTGCTGTATCCTTCTTCCATAAAATATAGTCATTAATCACTGTATCTGTCTTTTTCCATGGCATTGATTCCTTTTGATCTTGTTCATCTGCAAACATGTCCTTTTTGAATACATGACCTTGAGTGATTCCACTAGTTGATACTGAATGGCCTATCAACTGTCTCCCTAGAATGACCGTTTCATACTGTCCATTTGAACCTTTTTCGACATTTAAATACTCCTTGGACTTGACAGGCCCTTCATAATCTACAGAAAAAGGAAACAAATGTGCTCTTATCTCGCTCATGTTGAATACAAGCAAAAAAGAAGAAAAAAAAGAGGGGGAAAACTTTTCTCTCTGTTTCTCTCTCTTGTGACGCGCGCTTTTAAGTCGTTCAACTGCAACTTTATTTGAATCATGCAACCCGTTCTTTTTCTTTTTCTTTTTTTTTTTCCTTCCTTCTTTTTACAAACAAAACACATCCTATGGAAGAAGGTAAATAAAGTCTATGTCTTTTATTGAAATAGTTTTATATAAAGGGAAATAAATGATGTAAGAAATCTGTAGAGTATGTCGAGGAGAAGGTACAGCAGAAGATCCATTATATCATCCATGTAAATGTTCTGGAAGTATACGCTATGTACATCAAAACTGGTAACTACATACATCGCCATAGTAATAGTAGTTAACCCTTCGTAGTTTAATGGACTGGCTAACACACAGCAAAAAGAAGCACTGTGAGTTATGTAATCACACGTTCAAGTTTACTCCAGTTTATAAAAACGATATGCCTTCAACGATACCAACAATTTATTTAATTCATCATTTGGCTTACGTGATATACACAATATTTTATTATCTGATTCGTGTCACCTTGGCTCTCTTTGTCTGGCTTGGGCTCGTACCCTATATCACTTTCTGGAGTTGGCAGCTGTCTGCTTGGTCTGCAATGGGCAGTCAACGGTTACTGTCTCGAATATTGTTTCAATCTGTTCCGGATATACCAAAGCAAACCAAATACAATTGGAATTGGGAAACTATCTTGTATGATTGCATGAAGGGTTGGATGATAGAATTTGGCTTTGTCCTTTTGTTGATTGTAGGTCTTTTGTTGCACGAGTGGTTTGAACAGAATGTTCCATTTGTAGACGATATAGAATGGGATCATCCTCGTCCAGTTATGATTGAAGATGATCTTTTGAATGAAATTGACAACAACAACAACAATGGAAATAATCACTTTATGGATAACAACAATAATAATATGGCAAACGAAGAAGATATCGTGGCAGGTGTGGATGACTTTAATGGATTATTACAAGGTATCGGAATTAGAGGCAACGTTCTGAATCTGTTTCAAAATGCTAGCTTGATTACCCTATTACTATGTTTTAGCATCGGTATAGGAGTGTGGATACCGTATATAATAGGTGTTTTATTTATTATGGTAAGATATACTCGATAATTATGAAGGACATGATGTATTCAGCTTAAACTAGTTTCGTCCGTGGAAGCTGATCAAGTATTTGATCGAATTCGGAAGACGTTTGTTAGATCCTATTCTCGACCGACTCATCGATGAAGCAACACGACACATCCCTTTATCCATTCAATCTGTACTTCGTTCTATACTCTTACATATTCATCAGCCATCAGCAGAAATTGTGCCTCAACCTGTAAACAGCACGATGTGGCAAGCCATGTATCAGTACTTTATCGATATGCCTTCAAGCGAGGACTACAAAAAGATTGCAGGCTGTATAGCTACTGGATACCTCGTTGTGAAGATGTGTGGAGCGATCTATTTATCACGCACGCGACATCACGCGCGTATTCAACGCTTATTTTGTCAAATGATACACCAAGCCTATCTTTGTCTAAAAGTAACAGTATTTATTGGGGTCGAACTCTACCTATTACCTATTGTGTGTGGATATCTCTTTGATGCAGCTTTATTTGACTTGTTTTTTGGTGACGAAAGCGTCTGGCTAGAACAGACGATAGGCTACTTAGAAAAAAATAGATGGACATCTCGTTTCCTGCATTGGTTTGTCGGCACAACATTCATGTTTTTGTTTACATCTACCATCAACTTTTTCAGATCCATCCTTCGCCCCGGCGCTCTCTGGTTTATCCGGGACCCCAATGATCCACAGTTTCATCCAATCAAAGAATTGGCTGAACGACCTGCTTGGACACAACTCAAAAGACTATGTCTAGTTGCTTTCATCTACATGTGTGTGATACTTGTAGGTGTTGGTCCCCTTGTTGACTGGACTGCGATCATTTGTCATTCTTTACTGCCTCTGCAATTGAACTATACGTAAGTGTTGTTTAGTTTTGTACAAAAAAAAACTCATGAAAGCAATGACAGCCAGCCGCTATCTGTAGTTCCCATCGATTTATTAGCATTCATGTTTCTTATGCCAAGAATAGTAGCATGTCTTGATGCAAAGGACAACTTTATTGCTTGGTTTGCATGGCTACTTCATCAGTTTCGTCTAAGCCACTTTTTCTTGGGCACACGAAGGATCGAAGAAGAAGGAGAGGTGTCTTACAAGACTTGGAAAGCATGGATACAACGACCCAAATACGACATGAATGCAAATCAAGTAGATGTCCTTACGTTTCACCCGAACGGACAATTTCTTCGTGTTCCCAAACATGATAGAGTACGCCGCCACGTTCCTGGTCAGCGCATGCTAGTACCTGTGGGTGGAGTTACCCAGGAAGGTCATCCAGCCGCAAGAAACTCCGAAGAGCTCGAAGAGAACACAACGGTGGTGTATGCGCCACCCAACTTTGAAGCACGCGTTATCATGATGCTGATAACTCTGTGGACGTCTGTTGGGATCTTTGCACTCTTTGGACTGTTGATATTACCTATTGTCATTGGCAGACAAATCATCAAGGGGAATGATGTGTATGCACACTTTCTAGGATGCTGTACATTGTTTTGTGTAAAATTCGTCAAGAAGATCAAGCAGGAAACCTTTTCTCAAGCTATGGCATGGGTATTAAAGACAACAATTGAATAGTAACGATATAAACTAACTTATTACTAGGTGAGAAATCTAATGGTGATATTGATGTCATTTGGTATCATTCTGCCTTTATTGTTTGGACTCTTGCTTGAGTTCTATGTCATCATTCCATCACAGGCTACTGAAAGGATAGTAATACAACCCGTCTTTGTCTGGGCCAATGGACTTGTGCTACTTGAATTAATTGTTCAGTTATCTCAGCAGATCTTACCGGCTACACACAGCGTCAACCAATCTATTGACAGAGTAAGTAATAGTCAGTATAGCAGAGAAAGAACATGTGCTTACATCATACAATAGCTGAAGGGCCAAGGAATAGATCAGCTCAGTATAAAGCGAGAGATGAGGCAAGTAGCCCTCCCACTGATCATAATGTCTTTTAGTATGCTACTATTACCATTTTTGTCTGTCAAATTCTATTCTTATATATTTTCAATGGACGATCATCCTAAGCTATACCAAAGAGCATACCCACTATGTTCAATCATCATTGGACTCTATTGCATGTTACCCACTTTCAAAGCGTACATAAGCAAGTGGATTGATTCAGTGAGGGAAGATTATTACCTAATAGGAAGAGTTTTACACAACTTTGAATAAATCGCTTGTCATACCTTTTTAATCAACGTGTGCTTAATAATTTAATTATCAATGGGCTTCTACGGATACGGTCTTGATCCCTATCACAACTAAAAATGCACCTTTAAATAATAACCAGATGCTCACTCTAAGCTTTATACTTTCACAAGTGATAAACTGATGGATTCTCTATCAATTTCTCAATAAGACGAAGTCTGTAGAAGATGGAAGACCATTTAAATAACTGTATAATGATTGAGCTTGGGGTTAGACAGTTACAGATGTTTACTCAGCAAGAAACAGCCCCCAAATGAAATCATTTACAAAGTCAATCTTTACTATTAGAGCGCTATTGTGTTATTCTCCATGCTATTGCTTACTTGTTAAACCCACGCCCAATAAATATATAATGAAACAATAATTGCAATAGACTCATCTGCCGGCTACATCTTCTGTGTGAGCAGTCAAGGAAGGAACAAATCTTATATCCAAATGCACTTCGGTTGTAGATAGCCACAAAAAGGATTTGATTCCGAGAAAAATACCTGTGCCAAAATAGCTACTTTAAAACATTCATTTCATACATTATTCAGCCATCATGCAAAGCGTTGTACTCGACCTGTGAAGGCACCCAAAAATCACGAACTAAAAGAGATTTGCTGATTTACCAATGTAAGAAATAGGTTGATGTAGTATACGAATTTATAAAGTATCATCACAATTACACTTCAAGTGATATTTGCTGTTGTTGTAACCATTCTTTTCTTTACTTGCTCAAAATTGACAACATTGTAAATATGGATAAGGCTCTTTTTTTTTATATTTAACTTCTTTAAGAGAGAATTGAAGCAAACAGAGGAACAAACAAAAGAAAACAGGGCGAAGAGGAGGGCGAGAACAGCCGAGGTCGCTTGAAGTGTAATTATGATGATACTTTATAAATGATCAACTACTATTGCCGTGGTAATGTGTAGTTACCAGTTTTGATAAGCATAACATATATTTCCAGAATATTTACATTCAAAAATACTTCAGCTATAATTAGGTTTAGTAGAAGAGAAAAGTTCTTCATATTCTTCTGAACTAAACCCTATCAAGCAGTTTTGATCCGTTGTTAAAAGTAAACTAAGGAGAGAAAAAGAAAACTTCTGAAGAGACAATTTCTAATGAAGAGACATGCAACAGTGTCCTTTTTAGCGGTCTTTGTGGATTTTGCCATAAGATTCAATGTTTTATTAATATATAAAGTATGCCATCTATCTTATATATACAAAATTGTGTATAGTCATTAAGCAAAATCGAAGCTTATAATCATAATCTCTGTTAGCTTGTCTTAAATGATTAGCTCAACTTTCGAACGACGAACAATACCAAAAATATGCGTCTACTCACCAATAATGCTAGTGTAATTCAATAGTGCGAGGTACGTTCCTATTATGAGTATACGTCATCACGTTCTTTCTTTAAAGGTAACCAGTACCTCTCGATTATACAGTGTTTTGCATTTGAAAATACAAAAATTAGATAGTTAAAATACACTTGTTATATGTGTATATTTCATAATGACAGCTACATTCTTTCCATGTTCAAACGCTTAGAGAAATGCTTTTGCGAATGACGAATCCAACCTCGACAGTCTTTTGGTGCAACTTTCTTGGCTGCTTCTTCCATCCTGTCAGCAAGAATTTCATTCTTTCCAAAAAGTGTTTTACGTACAGTGCTTCCAACAAGCAATGTCGCAGCCAATCAAAATTGAAAGCGCAGGTAAGTCAAAATCAATGTCGTATTTTTGGAAACCAAGTCGCTCGCTTAGAAATCATGTCGTTCTTGGCACTCGAGAAATATAAAATGAGAGCAATCTTTACAATATAACATGAGTGCAAAATTTTTATGTGAAGATGGGCAAGGAAATGTCGTTGATGAAAATTGGTTGCCCTGAGCCCATGGACTACATTGCTGGCCAGAGTGAATTTATTGTCGAGACAATTGCAACTCATTCTGAATATTTGAAAAATACAGCCTTCAGTGAATTTTCTCCGACTTGTTCAATGCCGATTGAAAAGTCAAAAGATGAAGATACTCGTATGAAGGAAGCAATAATTAAACGGGATTATATGCGATACACTGTCCAAGACAAAGTTAGGTTTTTCGATCTGAAGATTAAAAGGCGTATGAGTGCCTCAGCTGCAGCAAATCAATTGGAGATATACATTCGAACGGCGTAGAGATGGGTTAAGCAGTACAGCATGTGCCCTGACAACATCTTTGATAGCTGCAACAGAGTAGGTCGTAAGTGCTGTCAGTCTATTAACAAAGAACTAAGACCAATCACGCGTAATTATGATAAATTCGTATTTTACATTAAAGGATATTCCACTAGGTGACCTTAAGTTAAGCAGAGATTTTGGTAGTGTGAAGTTGTAAAGCAATTTCACATGTAAAGTCCATATCATTAGCTTATTTTCTGGCGCATATATTGTTCGCCCTGGTTATACATTCAAAAAGAACTACTTTTTCCCTTCTCTTTGTTTCCTCTTTCTACAGCATGTTGATAAGGCATTGCTCTGCTACCTCTGTTGAAGTACTGACACTTACCTCTACTGGGTATGACACTAATATAAGTACAAGTAGCATAAATAGCGTTTAGTAAAGTAAAGAGTAAGCACCAATGTCTCTACTGGGTATGGCACTGTTATATACATAAGTATTGCTGATTCTACTCTAAGTTGAAAAAAGAAATTGTAGTTTTTTCTGGTAGTAATATCAGAAAGAATTACGCTTTTATATATATATATATATATATATATATATATTATAAAAATGGAAATGAAAAAAGTTACATTTTATGAATCTCATTTGAAGGATTCTCGATTTCTATAGGTGGCCTACACAGCATATATTCGAAAAGTGCTGGTTGTCTTTAAAGAAAGAACGGAGTTATGCAATAAGCGACCCTATACAGTCTACTCTGATGAAGACAAGGCTAGATGCTTTCATTTATTTTTCAGCAAATGCTTGAATGCTTCTGCTGTTGTAACTGAAGTAGCAGAAAGTTTAACGCAAAACTTTGCGGATCTTAATGTTTCTCGTAGCACTATTTCTAACTTCATGACAACCGAGTGCAATCTATCTATTAAGCAGGCACAATTCCAGTCAGTAGAAAGAAACAGTGAAGAAAAGATTCAACAAAGATACGATTGGGTACAAAAATGGTAGCAACCTGGCTTGAATTTCACAAAAAATTGCGCCTTTCAATTAAGCAGTTCTGGTCAGTTGTCAAGAGCAAGGTTAAGCGAAATAAGTTCCTAGAAAAAGAATCGCTCATGACTAGAACTAGTGAGGCTTGCGATAGCTTGTATCTAAGTGATTTCAAAGGCTTTATTTCTCATCCTGCTAAATGTTTTGGTAAGTATCTCAACAAAGAAAGATTATGAACAATGTAGAGTAGGTGAGAGACGTTATGGTGAAAAAGCTCCAGCAAAACAAAAAAAAAAAAAAAACTATTACATCTTTACCTTTCTGGCTTGACCTTTGATCAACAATTTTATCCAACACCTCGCCAGCTATTATTTTTTTTTCCTTATGCGGGAGAGCGAATAAGAAAGAAATATAAAGTAGAAATATGGTATGTTTCTGTCGCGAGCTAAAAGACCATGCTCATTCATCACCGAAGAATTATCTTATCCCTTTTATTCCCTTTTCTCAACACGACGAATTATTGAGGCCCACAGTTCCTCCAATATCTTCTTTTGAAACTCTTATAGAGCTTGAGCAATTTTTTTTTTCTTTCAAGACAAGCCAGCTGTGGTTTTTTTTTTGTTCTTTTGGAGAGAAACAGACCGTGAATGAAAAAACACTAATCGTACAGTTCCATGATAATATCTTCAATTTTTTTGTCATTTTCTTTTTTGTTGCTTATCCCATTTGCCAAGTCCACCAGTTGGCTATTCAAGGCGCTGTTGCCAATAATTTTGATTTCCTTTTGATTGTCAAAGAGACTACAGATATTATGGAGGATGGATGCTACTGCAGAAGAATCTTTGGAGAGGGCCTGAATAGGCTTGAAATCATCAAGATGGAGGGTGGCACTTCGTCCATGTCGGATGACTTGGAGGGCAATAGTGCGGAACAAAAGAGAGCCTACTTTTTCTTGTGACATAGTGGTGTGGTTGGAATCTTGGTCTACTAATGTCCAAATGGTGGTTGGCTGGAGTTTTAAAGGCGAGGCCATGGTGGATGACGAACGGCACATGGTATATGTTGACAAGCAGTCGAATTTGCTCCGTACTTGTTTGAGTTGGTATAATGATGGGAGCGATTGGGCGCGATTGATCTTTGTGTTATCTAACAATGATTTGGCAAGTTCTATAGAAAGACAATCCAAAAATATCTTGGTTGATGTTGTTGGGCGAAAATGAGTTGTGGCAGGGCCAATATTGACTGACTGTCGATCTAACCGAATACTGGACGTCACAAGAAAGTTACTTGTTCGTGTGCCTATCACCAATTTCTGACCATCATTGGTGGGAAGCAGGCAGACTGTTAGAAAGCCATAACGGCCAGGCGTAGTTGGAAATGATGATGGAGAACTTGTAGACCTTCGTTCAAAATGAGCGTCGATGAGTGAGTCACGTGCATAGGGCTCGATGGTATTCACCAATATTGATACTTCATCTTGCGTCATTATGCATCCAGCCAACAACTGCGAGCAGCAGTACCGAAGTTGGGGGTATTCAAGCCAGTCTTGGTTGAGAATTTTACACTCGGCTTCAGTTAATTCCACATGGTTTGTAGTTGATAAGATTTTGGCAGCTTTACTATTTCACAAATTGAAAGAGAAAGGGAGGATGAGAAGAAAAAAAAAGGAAGAACTCCTAAATTATGATTTACCTGGCAGATTTTATACGCCTAATTAGAGTATCTTCATTAGTCTGGATCGACAATTGATTAGATGGGGTATCTGGATCAGGAAATAACCACTCGCCAACTGGTGGGTTATCCTGCAGCATTGTTGAAGCTGTGGAAATTGAAGTGAGAAACCCATGGTCTTTTTCTTTACATCGATAAATGATTGGCATCCAGCGACCAAGCTGAGCAAGCATAAGTTTGTCTTGCTGGGCTTGACTGCTGGACATCAAGGAATCGGACGCCAGAAGTACAGTTTCTGTGCAAGTGGGGGGTTTTTTAATCTTTCTTGAGTTTGTCGAGATTTCCAGGGCAAGAGTTGGTGACGGTGAATGGTTAAGCATGGAATCTCCATCTGTCACGTCATGTTTTGAGTTCCCTTCAGCATCGCCAAGATATAGTTGCCCGCGTTTTTTTGAAGTTGCCATAATCAACCCATGTCGTTTCAAATGAACACCAAAAGCTCGTGTTGCCTTCATCTCCACACCACAAGATGGACATGTGAAGTTACCATTAGTTCTGAGAATAGAAATGCGGCCTACATAAAAAGAAAAAAAAGTGAGAAAACAAACAAATGACATTGATAAGCTTCCTACTTTCTCCCACGTAAACACTATCAATGTGATGATCTCGCTCGTGGTTTCTCTGTGCGTCTTTTGACTTTGGAAGCAGCTCATCACATAGCTGACATCGAATTTCTGTATTCATAAGAATTCAAGAAAAGACGGTGAAAGGAAAAGATAACAGGTGTGTTCCGAAGTCGGTTGAAGGATAAGAGAAAAATACAATTTTTTACGGGAAACACGGCACACACGCGAAAACTCCTGTCTTCGCGTGTGCGTAGTATTGCCGTTTTTTACACCTGGTCTCTCGCTCGGTCTTTTTATGCTTGGTCTTTTTCAAGTCACGCTTGGTCTTTTTCACGCTTGGTCTTT